TTTTTTTTTTTATTATCACACTGGCCGATTCCCACCAAGGCAGGGTGGCCCGAAAAAGAAAAACTTTCACCATCATTCGCTCCATCACTGTCTTGCCAGAAGGGTGCTTTACACTACAGTTTTTAAACTGCAACATTAACACCCCTCCTTCAGAGTGCAGGCACTGTACTTCCCATCTCCAGGACTCAAGTCCGGCCTGCCAGTTTCCCTGAACCCCTTCATATATGTTACTTTGCTCACACTCCAACAGCACGTCAAGTATTAAAAACCATTTGTCTCCATTCACTCCTATCAAACACGCTCACGCATGCCTGCTGGAAGTCCAAGCCCCTCGCACACAAAACCTCCTTTACCCCCTCCCTCCTATAGAAGGGGCTGTAAAAGAAATAAATGCTAAGGTGTTCGGGAGAGGGGTGGGATTAAATTATGGGGAATCAAATACAAAATGGGAAGTGACACAGTTACTTTTTGCTGATGATACTATGCTAATGGGTGATTCTAAAGAAAAATTGCAGAGGCTAGTGGACGAATTTGGGTGTGTGTGTGTAAAGGTAGAAAGTTGAAGGTGAACATAGAAAAGAGTAAGGTGATGAGGGTACCAAATGATTTAGATAAAGAAAAACTGAATATCAAATTGGGGAAGAAGAGTATGGAAGAAGTGAGTGTTTTCAGATATTTGGGAGTTGACGTATCAACAGATGGACTTATGAAGGATGAGGTTAATCATAGAACTGATGAGTGAAAAAAGGCGAGTGGTGCATTGAGGTATATGTGGAGACAAAGAACGTTATCTGTGGAGACAAAGAACGTTATCTATGGAGGCAAAGAAGGGAATCTATGAAAGTATAGTGGTACCAACACTCTTATATGGGTGTGAAGCTTGGGTTGTAAATGCTGCAGCGAGAAGGCGGTTGGAGGCAGTGGAGATGTCCTGTCTAAGGGCAATGTGTGGTGTAAATATTATGCAGAAAATTCGGAGTGTGGAAATTAGGAGGTGTGGAGTTAATAAAAGTATTAGTCAGAGGGCTGAAGAGGGGTTGTTGAGGTGGTTTGGTCATTTAGAGAAAATGGATCGAAGTAGAATGACATGGAGAGCATATAAATCTGTAGCGGAAGGAAGGCGGGGTAGGGGTCATCCTTGAAAGGGTTGGAGGGGGTAAAGGAGGTTGTGTCTGCGAGGGGCTTGGATTTCCAGCAAGTGTGCATGAGCGTGTTCGATAGGAGTGAATGGAGACGAATGGTATTTGGGACCTAACGAGCTGTTGGAGTGTGAGCAGGGTAATATTTAGTGAAGGGATTCAGGAAAACCGGTTATTTTATATAGCCGGACTTGAGTCCTGGAAATGGGAAGTACAATGCCTGCACTTTAAAGGAGGGGTTTTGGGATATTGGCAGTTTGGAGGGATATGTTGTGTATCTTTATACATATACACCTACCATCCGACTTACGACCGAGTTCGGTTCCGAGAAACCGGTCGTAAGTCGAAATGGTTGTAAGTCGAACTTTACTACTGAATATCAACATAACATTTTTGTAATGATTTTATTTTATTGTTTTATTTTGGTATTTCATGTTTTACTTTACTTTTTATGTTGTTAGTACTGTATTTTATACTGTAAGGTTTAGGATAAACACTATGTACAACACAAATAGTTGTTTATTTCCCAGAAATTTGGTATAAAAAACACGGTCGTAAGACAAGTGGTCATAAGTCGAGCAGGTCGTAAGTCGGATGGTAGGTGTATACTTCTAAACTGTTGTATTCTGAGCACCTCTGCAAAAACAGTGATTATGTGTGAGTGAGGTGAAAGTGTTGAATGATGATGAAAGCATTTTCTTTTTGGGGATTTTCTTTCTTTTTGGGTCACCCTGCCTCAGTGGGAGACGGCAGACTTGTTAAAAAAAAACAAAAAATAAGTACTACAATTATCAGTGTGTATATATAAAATAAGTATACAAGATATGATGTAGGGCGAAATGACAGTAGTTTGTTGGATTATGTATTGGTAGATAAAAGACTGTTGAGTAGACTTCAGGATGTACATGTTTATAGAGGGGCCACAGATATATCAGATCACTTTCTAGTTGTAGCTACACTGAGAGTAAAAGGTAGATGGGATACAAGGAGAATAGAAGCATCAGGGAAGAGAGAGGTGAAGGTTTATAAACTAAAAGAGGAGGCAGTTAGGGTAAGATATAAAAGCTATTGGAGGATAGATGGGCTAATGAGAGCATAGGCAATGGGGTCGAAGAGGTATGGGGTAGGTTTAAAAATGTAGTGTTAGAGTGTTCAGGGAGAAGTTTGTGGTTACAGGAAAGTGGGTGCGGGAGGGAAGAGGAGCGATTGGGGGAATGATGATGTAAAGAAGTAGTAAGGGAGAAAAAGTTAGCATATGGGGAAGTTTTTACAAAGTAGAAGTGATGCAGGGGGAAGAGTATATGGAGAAAAAGAGAGAGGTTAAGAGAGTGGTGAAGCAATGTAAAAAGAAAGCAAATTGAGAGATGGGTGAGATGTTATCAACAAATTTTGTGAAAATAAGAAAAAGTTTTGGAGTGAGATTAACAAGTTAAGAAAGCCTAGAGAACAAATGGATTTGTCAGTTAAAAATAGGAGAGGAGAGTTATTAAATGGAGAGTTAGAAAGGGATTGGGAAGATGGAGGGAATATTTTGAGGAATTGTTAAATGTTGATGAAGATAGGGAAGCTGTGATTTCGTGTATAGGGCAAGGAGGAATAACATCTTGTAGGAGTGAGGAAGAGCCAGTTGTGGTGTGGGGAAGTTCGTGAGGCAGTAGGTAAATGAAAGGGGTAAGGCAGCCGGGATTGATGGGAATAAAGATAGAAATGTTAAAAGCAGTGGGGATATAGTTTTGGAGTGGTTGGTGCAATTATTTAATAAATGTATGGAAGAGGGTAAGGTACCTAGGGATTGGCAGAGAGCATGCATAGTTCCTTTGTATAAAGGCAAAAAGGGGGTAAAAGAGAGTGCAAAAATTATAGGGGGATAAGTCTGCTGAGTATACCTGGTAAAGTGTATGGTAGAGTTATTATTGAAAGAATTAAAAAGTAAGACGGAGAATAGGATAGCAGATGAACAAGGAGGCTTTAGGAAAGGTAGGGGGTGTGTGGACCAGGTGTTTACAGTGAAACATATAAGTTAACAGTATTTAGATAAGGCTAAAGAGGTCTTTGTTTGGGATTTATGGATTTGGAAAAAAGGGGTATGACAGGGTGGATAGGGGGGCAATTGTGGCAGATGTTGCAAGTGTATGGTGTAGGAGTAGGTTACTGAAAGCAGTGAAGAGTTTTTAAGAGGATAGTGAGGCTCAAGTTAGAGTATGTAGGAAAGAGGGAAATTATTTCCCAGTAAAAGTAGGCCTTAGACAAGGATGTGTGATGTCACCGTGGTTGTTTAATATATTTATAGATGGGGTTGTAAGAGAAGTAAATGCGAGGGTCTTGACAAGAGGCGTGGAGTTAAAAGATAAAGAATCACACACAAAGTGGGAGTTGTCACAGCTGCTCTTTGCTGATGACACTGTGCTCTTGGGAGATTCTGAAGAGAAGTTGCAGAGATTGGTGGATGAATTTGGTAGGGTGTGCAAAAGAAGAAAATTAAAGGTGAATACAGGAAAGAGTAAGGTTATGAGGATAACAAAAAGATTAGGTGATGAAAGATTGAATATCAGATGGAGGGAGAGAGTATGGAGGAGGTGAATGTATTCAGATATTTGGGAGTGGACGTGTCAGCGGATGGGTCTATGAAAGATGAGGTGAATCATAGAATTGATGAGGGAAAAAGAGTGAGTGGTGCACTTAGGAGTCTGTGGAGACAAAGAACTTTGTCCTTGGAGGCAAAGAGGGGAATGTATGAGAGTATAGTTTTTACCAACGCTCTTATATGGGTGTGAAGCATGGGTGATGAATGTTGCAGCGAGGAGAAGGCTGGAGGCAGTGGAGATGTCATGTCTGATGGCAATGTGTGGTGTGAATATAATGCAGAGAATTCGTAGTTTGGAAGTTAGGAGGAGGTGCGGGATTACCAAAACTGTTGTCCAGAGGGCTGAGGAAGGGTTGTTGAGGTGGTTCGGACATGTAGAGAGAATGGAGCGAAACAGAATGACTTCAAGAGTGTATCAGTCTGTAGTGGAAGGAAGGCGGGGTAGGGGTCGGCCTAGGAAAGGTTGGAGAGAGGGGGGTAAGGAGGTTTTGTGTGCGAGGGGCTTGGACTTCCAGCAGGTATGCATGAGCGTGTTTGATAGGAGTGAATGGAGACAAATGGTTTTTAATACTTGACGTGCTGTTGGAGTGTGAGCAAAGTAACATTTATGAAGGGGTTCAGGGAAACCGGCAGGCCGGACTTGAGTCCTGGAGATGGGAAGTACAGTGCCTGCACTCTGAAGGAGGGGTGTTAATGTTGCAGTTTAAAAACTGTAGTGTAAAGCACCCTTCTGGCAAGACAGTGATGGAGTGAATGATGGTGAAAGTTTTTCTTTTTCGGGCCACCCTGCCTTGGTGGGAATCGGCCAGTGTGATAATAATAAAATAAAATATATAAAACATGAAATAACTTTAAAACACTTGAAATTTTGGAAAGTTTCCGGACATAATGGAAAGACGCGGTGCTCACAGAAAAAGTAAACAAAATGGGTGGGGCGTGGTGACTGTAATAGAAAGTCAGGTGAAAGTAGCCACATAGCAAGTTTTGGTCATAATTTGAAATATCTGTGTTAGCAGAATGCCATAAGGTGAAATGCCATAAAGCAGGGCCCTACTGTACTTTTGGTTTTCTTTTCCTGGTCACCCTGCCTTGGTGGGAGATGGCTGACGAGTTCAAAAAAAAAAAAAAAAAACATGCATTTAACTAATTATGTCAACTGATCTACTACTGTAAACAACACAATGCCACATGATCATATGATTATTATTTTGCATCTATCACTTCTTCAGAACAACTTTAATTGACATTATTATGTCAAGAAATAAGCATCAACTCACCTGGTCTATAGTCACTTTAGGACACAGAGCCAACAACGTCGTAAAGTACACGGGTGGATTGCATCGACTCCGCAAGCCTGAGATAAGACTTTTATAAAGCTGGTTCTGTATGACATGCGAGAACAGGAAGCTACCATACTGCTCTCGAAAGCACACCAGGATGCTCACCAATCTCACCTAGAAAAAGCGATATTTTAAGCATATTAAACTTTAATACCTTTATATAATCTTAAGATACATGGTAAATACCTCACAGCCTTATTTTAAAATTGAAACATGCCATATCAATTTATGAAGTCAAATAAACTCATGAGTCAAAAAAAAATCAATATTTATATACAGTGGAAGTGCCAAGGAAGGTCTGGTAGGCTTCAACCCCCAAAAATTACCTCAGCCCTCAAAGCTCCCTAAAGAAAACAGTGAATGTTTTCAGATGTACTTGGGAGTTGACGTGTCGGCGGATGGATTTATGAAGGATGAGGTTAATCATAGAATTGATGAGGGAAAAAAGGTGAGTGGTGTGTTGAGGTATATGTGGAGTCAAAAAACGTTATCTATGGAGGCAAAGAAGGAAATGTATGAAAGTATAGTAGTACCAACACTCTTATATGGGTGTGAAGCTTGGGTGGTAAATGCAGCAGCGAGGAGACAGTTGGAGGCAGTGGAGATGTCCTGTTTAAGGGCAATGTGTGGTGTAAATATTATGCAGAAAATTCGGAGTGTGGAAATTAGGAAAAGGTGTGGAGTTAATAAAAGTATTAGTCAGAGGGCAGAAGAGGGGTTGTTGAGGTGGTTTGGTCATTTAGAGAGAATGGATCAAAGTAGAATGACATGGAAAGCATATAAATCTATAGGGGAAGGAAGGCGGGGTAGGGGTCGTCCTCGAAAGGGTTGGAGAGAGGGGGTAAAGGAGGGTTTTTGGGGCAAGGGGCTTGGATTTCCAGCAAGCGTGCGTGAGCGTGTTAGATAGGAGTGAATGGAGACGAATGGTACTTGGGACCTGACGATCTGTTGGAGTGTGAGCAGGGGAATATTTAGTGAAGGGATTCAGGGAAACCGGTTATTTTCATATAGTCGGACTTGAGTCCTGGAAATGGGAAGTACAATGCCTGCACTTTAAAGGAGGGGTTTGGGATATTGGCAGTTCGGAGGGATATGTTGTGTATCTTTATATGTGTATGCTTCTAAACTGTTGTATTCTGAGCACCTCTGCAAAAACAGTGATAATGTGCGAGTGTGGTGAAAGTGTTGAATGATGATGAAAGTATTTTCTTTTTGGGGATTTTCTTTCTTTTTTGGGTCACCCTGCCTTGGTGGGAGATGGCCGACTTGTTGGAAAAAAAAAAAAAAAAAAAAAAAAAAAAAACATTGCTTCAAAACAAGTTCCTTTCCCACTTACAACTGGACACCCACTGGACACCCACCTCTAATCTTTGTCAGTACAGATATTCTGGCTGTGCCCCTGTTTCTATGTTGTAAAAAATAATGTAGTTTACATGTAATAAAATACTGGTAGGCAAAAAAGAAAGCCACTAGTATGCAAGACATTTTGGGCAAGGAAGTACATATAGGATATTAGCTGCATAGTGCACTACCAAAATCCACAGCAATCCATTATACAAGTCATTCTGCAGGCTAATGTTGTATTCATTCCTTAGATATTACATATTTGTGGATATATGCTTTATAAAAAGCTACCGTGGTTGTTTAATATATTTATAGATAGGGTTGTAGAGGAAGTAGCGGGGTTGACAGAACGCCCAGGGAGGTTTCTAAGTAATGTCAACTGAGTGAAAACGAAGTTGTAACTTTGTGATACATGTGGTAGGATTGGAGTCCTGAGAGTTGCTGGATGACATGAAATTTAGGTACGTCTTGCAAAGCTTTAATTACATAGTCACATACAATACATGGGATAACAACAATATTAGAACATTGGTTTCTTCTATTGCTGGAAGTTATGGAGTACTTGAATGTTTCATTATTTGGGAGTGGAACAGATTCTTCTCCGTAAGCGGGTGTTGTAAGAGGAACTAGAAATGGCCGGGAGACAAGGGCTAGTGCTCACTTAGTCTGTGGATGATTAAAATTGTAAAAGAGGAAGAATTGTATTTCTTTTAGCCAACCTCTTATATGGGTGGAGTGGGTGAAAGAAAGATTAGGGTAGAGAGAAGGAAGTGGAGAGGTCTTTGACAGGAATGTGGAGTTGTAAATAATCAAGAATTAAAGTGGAGTTAGTCAAGTTGGTCTGCGAGACACTGCCTTGGGAGATCTGAAAGGGAAATTGCAGGATTGGTGGATGGAATGTAGGTGGCAAAAGAAGAAAATAAAAGTGATACAGGAAAGAGTAGTTATGAGATACAAAAATATTAGGTGATGAAAGATTGGATATCAGATTGGAGGGAGAGAGTATGGAGAAGATGAATGTATCAGATATTTGGGGTGACGTGTCAGCGGATGGGTCTATGTAGGATGAGGTGAATCATTAGAATTGATGGGGAAAGGGTGAGTGGTGACATTAAGGAGTCTGTGGAGACCCAAAAAACTTTGTCCTTGGAGGCAAAGAGGGAATGATTGAGGATATGTTTTACCAACACTCTTATATGGGTGTGAAGCATGGGTGATGAATGTGCAGCGAGGAGAAGGCTGGAGGCAGTGGAGTTTTTATGTCTGATGGCAATGTGTGGTGTGAATATAATGCAGAGAATTCGTAGTTTGGAAGTTAGGAGGAGGTGCGGGATTACCAAAACTGTTGTCCAGAGGGCTGAGGAAGGGTTGTTGAGGTGGTTCGGACATGTAGAGAGAATGGAGCGAAACAGAATGACTTCAAGAGTGTATCAGTCTGTAGTGAAAGGAAGGCGGGGTAGGGGTCGGCCTAGAAAGGTTGGAGGGAGGGGGTAAAGGAGGTTTTGTGTGCGAGGGGCTTGGACTTCCAGCAGTGTGCGTGAGCGTGTTTGATAGGAGTGAATGGAGACGAATGGTTTTTAATACTTGACGTGCTGTTGGAGTGTGAGCAAAGTAACATTTATGAAGGGGTTCAGGGAAACCAGCAGGCCGGACTTGAGTCCTGGAGATGGGAAGTACAGTGCCTGCACTCTGAAGGAGGGGTGTTAATGTTGCAGTTTAAAAACTGTAGTGTAAAGCACCCTTCTGGCAAGACAGTGATGGAGTGAATGATGGTGAAAGTTTTTCTTTTTCGGGCCACCCTGCCTTGGTGGGAATCGGCCAGTGTGATAATAAAAATAAAAAAAAAGCTACCCAAAACACAGGTAGTCAGATAAGTGGAACCAAACACATACACATACATTTTTCACTGTTTTTTGCCTGAAATGCAATGCAGAACTTAAGGGTTTTCCATGTACAATAGTAAAATATACAATGGAAAACTTATGTAATGCTGAGGAAAATAAACTTTAATTTCCTCTCTTGATTTTTACTGATGTACAGCTATAGTCCAACAGACTTTTTTAATGAATTTTCTTTAAAAAACTAGGGCTTCTTCATGATCCTTTGTAGCTTCACATTATTTTGCATATGCACTTTCTTTGTTCATCGCTCCACTTTTTATAACACCTATCGTACCTTTTGTCTTAAACAGTAATTACGAATGAATCTCTAATTAGGATTATATTTTAACATTTACAGAGCCACTGAACCTCTGTCACCTCTTACTCCTCTTTTCAACCTTATTATCAAAGGAGTATATACAGGCATGCCTCATTAATCCGGTTCTCACTTTAGAGCACTCTGCTAATACGACGTTTTTCAATTATATTCATGTTTATCATTTTTGTCAATTGCCTTGCTCTTAAGATGGGTTTTGGCAATTTTAAAAAATTATTTATTTTTACTTCTGATTCATTTTTTAGGCCTAGCACTACTGTGTACTTAGTTAATGATATTGTAAACATTTTTTAAGCTTTTATATACACTGGCAAGTGAAAAAATACTGTGACTCACTTAAGGCAACATTTGCTTTATGGCAGCAGTCTGGAACCTAACCCGCTGTATTAGCAAGGTATGCCTGTATATGGTTCTTTCATTAAAATAAGTACAGAATCTTACCCTGTGCAGCTGGTCTGTAATCACAAGAAAGCGGATTGCACTAATCAAGCTGCGTGCAATGCGCCATCCACACGCACGAGGCAGACTGCCTGGGTTCATGACTAATACCTATAATAAAAAAAAAATAATGGTCATGGAAACTTCGTTAAAACTTACACAACATTATGCAGACTCATATTGTGTCTCAGAGGTCATGTATTGAATAGTGAGAGAGGTGGTCCTGTATTGAATAGTGAAAGAACTTGACGTGTACTGAATAGTGAGAGAACTGGATGAGTACTGAATAGTGAGAGAACTGGATGAGTACTGAATAGTGAGAGAACTGGACGTGTACTGAATACTGAGAGAACTGGATGAGTACTGAATAGTGAGAGAACTGGACATGTACTGAATACTGAGAGAACTGGACGTGTACTGAATAGTGAGAGAACTGGACGAGTGCTGAATAGTGAGAGAACTGGACGAGTGCTGAATATGAATAGTGAGAGAACTGGACGAGTGCTGAATATGAATAGTGAGAGAACTGGACGAGTGCTGAATAGTGAGAGAACTGGACGAGTGCTGAATAGTGAGAGAACTGGACGAGTGCTGAATAGTGAGAGAACTGCACGAGTACTGAATAGTGGGAGAACTGCACGAGTACTAAATAGTGGGAGAACTGGACGAGTACTGAATAGTGAGAGAACTGGACGAGTACTGAATAGTGAGAGAACTGGATGAGTACTGAATAGTGAGGCAACTGGACGAGTACGAAGTGGAGAACTGGATATCTGAATAGTGGAGGAACTGGACGAGTACTGAATAGTGAGGCAACTGGACGAGTACTGAATAGTGAGAGAACTGGACAAATACTGAATAGTGAGAGAACTGGATGAGTACTGAATAGTGAGACAACTAATAATGTTTATTCAGTCCTCTTTCAGTCAAGAACCATACTTGATGTAGTCGAAATACTGTAAGTACCGTATTTCGCGGCTTATCAGACGCATTTTTTTCATAAAATGTCTCAAAAGCTACCCTGCACCCTATAAACTGAAGGTCTGTGACAGGAGCTATAAGTTTGGGGTGTGGAGTGGGTTGTAACTCTCCCAGTTACCTATGATGCCGAGCCATTGAAACTAAAACAAGTTTCATAAACCACGTCTTATGATTCGCAAAATACGGTAAGTTTATTTTAGGTACAGGTACACTTATGAAAGTACTACAATTATCATACATACTAACATATGTGTAAATTACCTAGGAAAACAGAAAAAAAAAACTAGGCAAAGTGACTTATTTCCATTGGGGTCATAAATAACAACAAAAACAAATAAATTCTATCCAGGTTCATCATATCATTATTGTACTGTCATGGGGAAGCGCTAAATCTGCCGGGGCCATAAAACACCCATTTAATAAGAGGTTATCAGATTTGATCCAAGGAACAGGAAAGCAGCTTTAATTCCTTGGATCAAAAGCCCTTCACCGTCGTCCTCCGAATAAAGGGACTGAAATATTAATACAAATTAAATAAGTGTATCGTAATATTTGTGAATTTGTCTGACCTAAATAAGTTGATTTAGGTCAGTTAATATAAATAGTTAACATAGAGAATTTGCACTATTATACACATCATCAACAGAGCTGGAAAGGTGACAAATAAATTCAATCACTTGTACTGTTAATAATGTTAATGTTATTAACATTAGAGAAAAAATAAGCCGAGGAAAATTTTCAATGTAGTTAATATAACATTTTGATCGTGTAAATATTTCTAACTGCCAGTTAGAAGCAGTTACGAGCAAGTATTGAAAGAGTCATTCATTCTTACTGTAAATCAGTGAGGAAGTTAACCCAGGAAGTTAATATTTAACTTTCATCGTAAATTTTTCTGTCACTAGTTATGGCAGCGAACACTTCCCAGGGAACGAAAATACTTTCTTCCATATATAACTAAAAATCTCCGTTATTATAGCCCTTTAAGCCTTTCTAATTCATAAAATGTTTTATGGTATTGCTGATTAACTGTTTTATTACGTATTTTATTTGTGAATTTAAAAATGTTTGAAAAATGACAAGGGTACACACAACCAGTTTTGGGAAACATTATCAGCAGTCGACCTTATTGTGACGATCATTCTTGAATATTTTATTTGTTTATTTTTTTCCAATTAGTAAGTTTATTTAGGTACAGGTACACATAAGTATAATTATCATACACAGTTCAATAACGTGTAAATTACCTAGAATAACTCAGTAAAGTCAAGGTGACTTATTTCCATTGGGGTCCTTGTAACATGTTATTATTTAAGTCTTGCTGTAAGTTACAGTAGGAATCAGTCATGATTATAACCTTAAAAATTGAAACAGCTAAGTAACTCAACTGTGTGAAAATAGCAGATAAGAACAAGATTGTCTGGATTATTAACCTCTGAGGTTTAATATTCATAAGCGAGGCATTTGTCCCAGATACAAAAAATTAAAGTGAATTACATTTCTTAAGCAGTTAAGTTACTTAATTCTTTTTTTTGCAAACGAATGTAGTTGTCTGGACATAGTGCAAACATGATAATCTGTTCTATATTAAATATAACTACAATCATTGTGTTTATTTTCATGAAATACTGAAAAATAATGAAAAGATCCACAGAGACACAAAGTAAGCAAGAGAAACAAGACAAGCAAACTTTTTAGCGCTTGACCTACTTCTGCTAGTGGGTTCCTACCCACATATGATGCAGTCTTCAACTGCTGCATCTCTCTCATGTTCTACAGTTCTATGGCTAAGGCCATGGGCCTAACAAACTTCCACTAGTGGGCATCACCCACATGTAATAATGTCTTCAGCTCCCCGTCTTCCACTAGCTCCAGGATAAAATTTGCCGTCCCCATGTCTCTGTATTAGACTGATAAAACCTTCTGGACGGGCGAAATGTCTCAATAAAGACACCTAGGTGTCTCACACCTGTTTTATTCATTAGTAAGGACCCCAGTGGAAATAAGTCACTTCATCTGGCTTTTTGGGGGATTATCCTAGGTAATCCACACATATGCTGTTATATATGACAAATTATGTAATTGTACTTATGTGTACCTGCCATAGAGAAGTGTACCACACTTCTCTATGGCTGCGAAACCTGGACTGTCTACAAACGTCACGCCAGAAAGTTGAACCACTTTCACACCACATGGCTCAGAAAAATTCTTGGCATCAAATGGCAAGATAAGATCCCAGACACATAAGTGCTGACTACAGCTGGCCTGCCTAGCATCTACACCATCCTAATGCAGACAGCTTCGCTGGGCAGGTCACGTTGCTCGCATGCCAGACCACCGGCTGCCAAAGAAACTCTTGTTTGGCGAACTGCAGCATGGAAAGCGCTCTCAAGGAGGCCAAAAGAAGCGCTATAAGGACACCCTTAAGACTGCTCTGAAAGCTTTCAACATCAACCACACCATGTGGGAGCTGATAGCTCAGGACAGGAATGACCGGCGAGTAGTTGTCCAGAAAGGGGCAACATCCTGGGAGGCAAGCAGAATCTCACTAGCTGAGCAGCGCAGGCAGGCGAGGAAGACCAGAGCCATCAGACCCCTCGATGCCGCCACCCTTCCCTGTCCACACTGTCAGAGAACGTTTCGTGCGCGGATTGGCCTGACAAGTCATCTGCGTACCCACCAACTTCGACCCCAGGATGACTAGATGGTCCTCGTCGAATCGACGGACAAACAACAACACTTATGTGTACCTGTACTTAAACTTAATTTGTCGGTGTTATACCAATGATCTGATCTGATAAAAGTTGAACTTGCCAAAACATGAGAGACAATTTTATATCTGTCATAAGTGGGAGATTATTGACGTTCCCTCTTCTTGTTACTTTCACCATTGCATCTGTTTTGGAAGATGAACATGTGAACATAGAACTTGAACTCCAAGAAATTGAGCCTGCCCATGCTGATGAGAATGAGATGGAGGCAGCAGACCCAAAGTTAACAAGATGACGTAAACGTTTTTGCCCACACCCATGTATGACCACATCTACTACTGCTGCATTGTTCTACTAGGGCTGCTATTACTATGGTTATAACTATGACCATTAATTTTTAAAGGGATTAACCGGTAAGCTTCAGTAGCGGATCATCTGACTAAGACCTGCATCAGGAAACACTTGTACTGTTTCCTGACGAATCTTACTTAACCAAACTTAATCAACAAGATAACTTGCTTTCTTGTAGGATATTGGCAGATGTTTCTACAACTAGATTGCTAAATCTCTTATGCATCTCCTGAACCTGTTCTACTTTTCCTAGTCATCACCACCCACATGTGGCCACATCTACAACTGCTGCACTGCTCCGTTTCTTCCACTGGCTCCAGTACAAATGGTTAGGATAAGATAAGGTTTGCTCGGATTTTTAACCCGTGGGGGTTAATCATCCAGGATAACCCAGTAAAGTCAGTGCGTCACCGCAGACTGTCTTATTTCCATTGTGGTCCTTCAGTCTTGTTCCCCAGGATGCCACCCACACCAGTCCACTAATACTCAGGTACCTACTTACTATCAGGTGAACAGGGACAGTAGGTATAAAGTGACTAACACCCAGGTATCTACTTACTGCTGGGTGAACAGGGATATCAGGTGTAATGTGACTAACACCTAGGTACCTACTATGTTCCCCATCAGTAAAATGGGTACCTGGGTGTTAGTCGACTGGTGTGGGTCGCATCCCGGGACACTGACCAAATTTGCCCGAAATGCAGAGCATAACAAGAGAGTTTCTATGTAGTAGTATGTCATTGTTGTCAGCTAGGACTGTATACCTTGTACATGTACTTGTAGTAAATAAAGATATTATTATATTATTATTATTATTATTATTACTTACTGCTAAGTGAACAGGAGCATCAGGTGTAAGAAAACACGCCTAACGTTTCCACCTATGACAGGAACTAAACCATGGACGCTGAGAGCGTTGCCAACCAAACCACAGGACTCCTACGTACCTATTTACTACTAGATGAACATGGGCATCAGGTTAAATAATAATAATAATAATATAATATCTTTATTTCTACAAGTACAAGTAGAAGGTATACAGACCATAGCTGACATCAGTGACATATTATTATATAGAAAGTCGCTTGTTATGCAGAGCATTTTGGGCAAATTAGGTCAGTTTTGTCCCAGGATGCAACCCACACCAGTTGACTAACACCCAGGTACCCATTTTACTGATGGGGAACATAGACAATCGGTGTAAGGAAGCACCCAGTGTTTTCACCTTCACTGGGAATCGAACCCAGACACTCGCCATTTCCACTTGTACAGGGACCAAACCATGGTCATTCACTTGTGAGCTAAGGTTGCTACCAATTGATAAAGCCCCTGGTGGGCAAAACTCTCTCTTAGTAAGGATTCTCAGGTTTGGCTCACTTGATAGCTTCCTCATTTCACACTGAAGGACCCGGAATCGATCCAGGCACTGGTGAAACAAGGAGAATGTATCCCTACACCTGCTGTCCCTATTCACCTAGTAGTAAATAGGTACCTGGGTGTTAACTGACTGTTGTGGGTCACATCCTTGGGGAGACAATTTCCAGCTTACATAAGGGGGGATTACCAACAGACCCCTGGTTGTCTTCAAGAGGGAGCTGGACACATAAAGTCAGTACCTGACCAGCAGGGCTTTAGTTCATACATTAGGAGGTCCATGTGATAGGCTGGTGATCTTCTTGGAATCACAGGCCTGGTCATGATCAGGCCCAAAGGCTTGAAACCTCCGAATACCCCTCCCACGTATGCGTGATTATAATCTACGTGCACTTTACTCTACACACTTGCAATTTACTGTATTAAAGAATGAATTAATCCAACATGGTCATTCTCCTCCCAGGAAACCAGAGCTATAAGGTCGATCAATCTGGTTGAACCACAAGTCGATCCACAGAGTATGATGGATCGCGACAGGGCGTCACTCGTGAATACCCGACTGAATATTTAAGGAAAGAATAATTATTTTAGGCTAAAAATACTCTATTCTGTATTTAAAGACATTTTCGAGTAAAATGACATTTTTCACCCCTAGGAAAACTAGGGAGAATTTGCTACAATGCATCGGATATTGATTAAGCAATCTAGAATTATTTTGGAAAAAGTCTTAGATTGTTGCTGTATACAAGATCTTTATTTTTATGAATCCGATAAAAATGTTAACGCATAAAATTAATTATCTGCTAATCGCACCTTCGGAAAAGTCACATGATTTACCAATCACATTTCAGGGTAAATTTCTGAAAGGACCTCACTTTGTGGATCTACATAGTTGGGTTTATTTTAACAAAGTACTTTAATCTGTTGCTTATACTGTCATTACTTTGTTATTTTTAAGCTCCATAAAAAGTAACGCTAATATGGAAATTAGAGTAAATCTTTATCGCCCCTCAGAAAACTGTCACTATGGATCCAATTCCTGCATCAAGAACCCTTAACTGCATCAAGGAACCTCACTTGGTAGGGACCTCACTTGGTAGGGACCTCACTTGGTAGGGACTTCACTTGGTAGGAGCCTCACTTGGTAGGGAATTCACTTGGTAGGGAATTCATTTGGTAGGGACCTCACTTGGTAGGGAATTCATTTGGTGGGGACCTCACTTGGTAGGAACTTCACTTGGTAAGGACCTTACTTGGTAGGGCCCTCACTTGGTAGAGACCTCACTTGGTGACCACACAAGTGATGCTAGCTCACTCAAACTCAAAAGGCTGGTTTGAGGAAGAACTTGTGAGGTAATGTGAATGCTCCTCCACATACTGGCAGCATCATCAATCATGTTAAAATCCATAAGCATTCACCCATGGGACAGGAACAAATATGAAACCTCACAGTTTCCAGCATTGAACACTGAATGCTGGACTTGTTGCCAGTGCATGATATTATACCTGACACTGTATCAAAGTTCTCAAAGACTCACTTCAAGTTGTGCTTTATAGGGTTCATATTATTATAATCAAATTATTATTATTGTAATCAAAAAGAAGTGCTAAACCACCAGGGTCATTATTATTATTATAATCAAGGGGGAAGCGCTAAACCCGGAGGATTATACAGCGCCTGGGGGGGGATGTGGAAGGCATTCAGGCTTAATTCGGGGAACTGGAGCACAGATCCAATTCCCTAAATCAAGAGCCCCTCACCAACATCAAGGAACCTTCCTTGAGGGGTTTTACCACAAGGGTCAAACAGTGCTGCTTTATAGGATACAGTATATGTATCCCTGTGTGTTCATCTTGTAGTGTAAGGATATCAGGATCACTTGGTGCTCCTTTTTTTATATTTCATTACAGTGTTTGCTTTATTGTTCACTATATACTGTTTTAATAATAATGAGAAAGTCACATATTCAACACTAGGCAGCTTCATTGATGGAAACTTTTGCCTGTTCTGCAGGCTTCATTAGTCGAATATAGACATGAATTACACTTTGAAGAGACTGGGTGAAGGGAGAGGTAGTCTGAGGTAATCAGTCCCTCAATCCTGATGGAAGAAACCTTGAAGACAGTAGACAAAGTGGAGAGGTAGTTTGAGGTAATCAATCACCCTTGAGGGAAGATAATCAGTCTTGACTAAGAAACTCATTATGAGGGACTGATTACCTCAAGCAATCTTTCCACTTCATCTACTGTCTCTTGTATTGAAATTAGTCTCTGTATTTGAATGATGAAGCCTGCAATGTAGGTGATACATTACGTCAATAAAGATACCAAGTGAAGCGTATCTTAGTCATTCAACACCTTTGTCGATATTCCATACCATTTGCAATATTATGTCTCAGTATTGGTTGCAGAGGGTATGGTGACACTGACAAGATGTGGAAGAAGACAAATTCATACAATTATGACATTCATTAAAGGAAACATTTTGCCACAACTAGCTTCTTCAATCCTAATACAGACAGTTTAGGCAGAGACACAGGTTGGGATTATGTGAAACAAGATAGGAAGGTGAGGAGATGGTGAGCAAGAGTGGTGTCACCTCATGGCTGTATGTAGGTTGGGTAACAGTTTATTTACTAAATAGATAATGACAGTGAAGCTACCCGACTTGTGTGGAATGATATATGAGATTGCTTAGAAGCCTTCCATATAGCAATCTCAAACAGCCTGGCTGGCTGAGAGAGTAGTACTTCCATCTCACGATTAGTGGGTGGAGGATCGAGCATTCAGCATTTCTTGTGCTCAGTCAATCAGTTAATCTCTCTCTCTTTCTCTCTCATACACACACACACACACATAGGAGTTATGAATTGACCCCTGCAACCACGATTAGGTGAGTACACACCACACACACACAAAAATAGGCCAGCCCTACTTACCCTGTATCCTCACCCCCCTACAACCTTATCCTTGGCTCCTTTCCCTGTGATGATTCACACACCATCCCCAGCCCCCCACCTCTCACACTCCAGCCTAAAAGAAGGCTTTTTCTTAGAGGAAAATGCTAACTTACCTGTTGCAATTAGGAGCTGCATCATGCATTGTTGTCCAGTATTATAGATTTTTTGTTTCCTTGTATTCTTAATGTGATTACTTTCCAGTTTATCTTCTAATGAACAATTCTTAAGTCACAAACACAGCAACATACAGTTTTCCACATGAACCTTCTTCATGTTTGGGGTTTATAAGGTCACTGACAGCTTATGGAGTATTATCATTCTGTTGCTGGGGTTTATAAGGTTACTTACAGCTTATGCAGATGTGCTCGGTATGATGTTCACCCCAAGATGCTAGTACTGCACTATTTCTGGGCAGGACGGCGAGTCCATCATCCTAAGGCAGTGTTGATGAGCGTGTCAGCCATGAATGCCCCACCTGGAGTCAAATTGGAGCAACATCCACTGACCAATTAGGATGTGCTCAAGGGCAAGGACAACCAAAAGACCATACTGAACCCAGTGCTCAAGAACAAAAGGAGCATGCCAGATGTATTTATGTATGTGTACACTGTGTATACAGTATATGTATTTATATATGTATGGATGCTGACAAATCTCCATCAGGCAAAACCCTTGTAAACTCATTTTGGCACATTCCAAGAAGGGGTGATAGGGAGAGCATGCAAGGGAGGTCACCTGATCACTCACTTCATTGCTCTAGATGTCAACATGCACTGGTACCCACTGAAGGAAAATGCTCCAAACCAGAAGTATAGCAGGAGCTGTCTCTGCTGGATGAGGAGACTAAGGGACAGTGAACAGACAGAATATACAAGACCCAGGAATGACTGAGCATTAGAGAAGAGAACCATAGGTCGAGGTGGAAGGTAAGAGGGTGAAAAACAAGGCCTGGTAAATGGTGAATATTTCCCTTCCCAGGACTGAGTGAGGTCTAGTTGTCAGGTCTGACACAATGAGAGATCAGAGAAGAAAGCAACTAAGGCCATAGAAGGGAAAATACATGTTAAACTGTCCATGTACCATAAATGGAGCAGCAAGGAGAATCTCCTGGCTTTCAAACGAGTCTAATGTTATTTGCATGAATGGAAGCAGTGGGACGAGGGTGGAGTAGCCATTTTCACATGAATGTTATGGTTGTGAATTGTGAAGAATCACCAAAGATATGCCTTATTGAGCCCTGCCTTCCCTGAGTAAGTCTTTTTTTTTTTTTAACATGTTGGCCATTTCCCACCAAGGCAGGGTGACCCAAAAAAAAAAAAAAAAAAAAAAAAGAAGTAAGTGCATTGCCAAAATCTGGGCTGCATATGAGAAAGAAAAAAAATTTTCTTCTAAAACAAAAACAGGAACAAGTTTCCAATTTGGCCTTCCCTAAACCCCAGCAGGGACAAAGAATATATATCCCACCTGACATGAGTCAACAACAATAGGCTTTCTCCAGGTCTAGGAGCTGATGTATAAAACCCCAACCAACTGGCTTGAGGGCATGAAGGCAAACATACTGGGAAAGACAACAGGAAAAAATTTTGTCATTGATGATGATGTCCTCACTCCAAGGCCAGCATAGAAGTCCTGAGCTCAGGTTGACCCCAGACCTAAACACTAGTTGAACTAGATGTTCCAACTCTTTGACTCAGCAAACATGTGTGCTCAACCTCTGGATATTTATAAAGTGGAAAAAAAAATGAATGGCAGTACATACCAATTGCCCAGTGGACTATGTATGTTGAGGACAAATGTCACAAGACAGGGTAGAAGAAGCCATTTGCATTCCAACACTGGCACTGCTGTCTCTTGGACAATACTAAACTCACCTGCTGTAATTAAGACTCATACCAACCACTGTTGTTGTAATGTTACAAAGCTGTTTTTGTTATCTTGTGTTTTTGATGCACTTATTTTTCCAGTTTTCATCTTCTCATATAAAATTCTCTATGGTAACAACAGCAACATTGTTTTCCACATTAATATATCACACCTTCCAGCAAACTTATTCAGTTGTAAGAGCCATAACAACTCCATTTGCAAACTGATGGAAACTGGTTATTCAAACCAAATCAATATTATAAGATTTTATTTATAATAATTGTAAATGCTCAGAAAATAAGCCAAACATGACAAAGAAAACAAAAATTTATTTACAAAATAAAGTAGAAAAAATATATAACATGTCAGTCAGAAAAACTCTAGTACAGTTACAGCACATTTAAAAGAATTTATCAACTGACACTGTGGCACAGACAGGATGTTTGTATTGTAATTGCAATGACATAAATTATTGGCATGTCAAAATAAATGAAACATTCAGTAATTGACTTGTAAACAAGACTTGCATGTCTACATTATATATAAAACATTACAAAAAATATTATTTACAAAATACAAGGTACTTTTGGTATGTCATGCAGAGAATTGCTCAACACCTGTAAACAACAGTCAGGAAAACAAGACAACCAAATACGACACTTATGTCCCAAAAAATATGTCTGTATAATCATAACCTATTCCAAAAACATTATAATTAATTACAGGAATTGCCTCTTTAAACTGCTTATTTTTTACACCCTCTCGACTGTTATTCTTCTGATATGTAATTTATGAAAAATTATTTAAAAAAATAGTAATGTTTTTGGCAGATACAGTGTGCATACAGAATGTGAGGACAGAGTTACAGGCAAGTGGAGAGTGTACGCTTTACACATCACTTTTGTTCAGATTGTAAAACACTGAATGTGCTTTTTATAATTTTTTTCTTAACAAAAATGTTAAAGCATATGCAGGAAAAAAAAAGGAAGTCAGTGAAGTCCAAACTAGCAGTGTAGCACCATTTTTCACTACATTCCGACAACAGCAATTCACGTGATGAATTGTGACGTCTCAGTGTGCTATGTAACTTTTCCGCAAGAACAGTCCAAAAACTCGTAACTATATCATACTACATGGTGCTACATGGAAGACAGAAATGCTAGACTTCAGACCAAAGTCAGGAAAAATAAAATATAATTTTTATGTCAAAACATGTCCCAATGTCATTACAGGTACCACACGACGTGTGACGTGTCATACTCATGGAAAGTGCTACACCCATTTGGATCATTCATCATGATTTTTGTGAAGAAAGCCATCAAAAGAAGTGTTCATGTCAGGGTTATATGGGAATAAGGTTATTTGGCATCACTACTCTACATACATAAAACAGATTTTAGCAAATCAAGCATTGGTGGGTCTTGCGATGACATTCTGGTGCTTAAAATATTTTTAACATGGTATTGTTGCAAAGCTATTTACAAGATATCATTAATATAATAACAGCTATATTCTTTGTACATATGAGCTATCAATAAATACAGAGTAATCCTAACGACTTAGTCAGCATGGCCTCTCAGTAAGGCTGCAGGTTCCTCTCACTAAACCTGAAAGTATAGAGATAATTTGTTACAAAGAGGCATACAAAAATTACTAAAAATCCTTAGAGGACTTTTTACCATAAACTTGTTATAAACTGGTTATATTTCTATAGTGTACTCCAGGTATACTATTAAAGGGGCTTGGAAAAACTTTAAGAGGCCTGGAAAACTGTAAGAGGTAAAGAGGACAAGCACCAGATATTTCACCTAAATGGAATGAACCATCAAAAAGAACTAAAGTAACTGTTCCATGTGTAATGAATCTATACTCAGCTAAACAAATGAATTTTATTTCTTTCCAAATGGTACATGTGTGTTTACATTTTATATAGTGTAGTTAAGTACAAACTAACATGCCAGGGCTAATATTCATATAGCCACAAATACATCAGTTTACAAGGTACTTGTCAAGTAGGCATGGTCTAAGCCATTTGTAGTGAACACTGTTTGCATCTAAACCTCCACTCCTTGAATTAAGAATCCAATGAGAAGCCTTGCTGGACTTCAACCAATCAGCCACCTGGAAGGATCCTACAGACAACAGTTTGATATTTCCCAATAATCTTTGCCCATTTGAGGAAGATACTGTTTGCAGAGGGAATTTTTATTACATTTGGTCCAATATCGAACTTTAATTTAAAGTCTTGGATTAACCATTTTAATACAGATTTCACTGCAGTGAAATCATCACTACAAACCAAGCCCTATACTGCCAACTGAGATGGGCTCTTCCAGATTATTAAAACAGAGGAGACCATCACATCAAAAGAGAAATTTATATGGCTGGTGTGTTGAAAGAAAGAATATACAATGTGCAATAAACTGACACTGAGGTACCTACTTACTGCTAGCTGAACAAGTAACATAGCAGATACCCAATTAATGCTAGCTGAACAAAGGTATGCAATACAGGTAAAATCTGCTAGCTGAACAGAGGTATGCAATATAAATAACATAACATATTAAGATACCTCAGTAGTGAGCAGTGTTTTTGCCGAAGAGTCCTTTGAAGTGGGTGTGACAGATGGTGCTTCATAGATAACATCTGTGGCTCTTGTAGGTGGCACTGCGATGAGGGAAGGTGCAAGAGGTGAGACAGGAGAGACCGGTGAAGTAGGTGAAACAGACGAAGCTGGAGAAAGTGCAGAATCAACAGAGACGGTAGTCACGGTGGAATTGGACCTCTCAACCCTCCGATGAGACTGAGAATCATCATCACCACCTGAGTACATGTCAGCAAGAATCCCACTCTCTGAAAGACAAGAATTTACAAAACTATAAATCAACATTAAAACATCATAATGCTTTTGTACATTTTTTTTCAACAAACTAGCCATATCCCACCATGGCAGGGTGACCTTAAAAGAAAAACGAAAGTTTCTCCTTTAAAATTTAGTAATTTATGCAGGAGAAGGGGTATTTTAGTCACTTCTTATGACATGCATGGCTTATGGAGGAAGAATTTTGTTCCACTTCCCCATAGAGTGCTTTGTACATCTAGGCACATTTTACAGCTGTGAAATTCCATCTCACATATGCTTCCCCTAAATTATATTTAATAACTTGACAATATTCTCCATGGGGAAGTGGAACAGAATTCTTCCTCTGTAAGCCATGCGTGTCGTAAGAGGCGACTAAAATGTCAGGAGCAAGGGGTTAGTAACCCCTTGTCCTGTATACATTACTAAAGTTAAAAAGAGAAACTTTCGTTTTTCTTTTTGGGCGACCCTGCCTGTGGGAAACGGCCGGTTTGTTGGAAAAAAAAAAAATCTTGACAATGTCTGGTCTTGACAGTGATTATGTGTGAGTGAGGTGAAAGTGTTGAATGATGATGAAAGTATTTTCTTTTTGGGGATTTTCTTTCTTTTTGGGTCATCCTGCCTCGGTGGGAGATGGCCGACTTGTTGAAAAAAAAAAAAAAATCTAAGACAATTCCTTTGATACTAATAAAGGGCTACTGATCCTAGAAAAGTGTAGCTTACTTTTCCTTCATTTGGATCAAACTAATTTCTTCCTAGTTTCTAGGTGCTGTATGATTTCTATGGACACAATGAGCAGCTTATGGCATTTTGCTGGGATGATGTTTCATTCACTAGGTACTGGTAGATAAAATATCCACTTGTGGAACTGATGAGAAGTCCACTGCTGGACTCCTGGTCCGGGTAAACAAAGTGCCATAAACTGCATATCGCTTCCTATTAGCATACCTGTCACAATATAATATCACTGATATTCATCCTATGGACTCAACCCCTGCCCATGAACATAATATATGAGGCATTGTGTCCTTCCCTGTAAATACCTTCTTTTCTTTTCATTTACTGTATATTACTTTAACAAACATAACCTTTTGTAAAATAAAAATATTTATTTTCATACATTGTATTTCCATGTATAGCAGTGTATACATGATGCCTGAAAAAATACAGAGTTTAAAGACAAAAATATTGTATATAGCTATTTTTTTTTTTCAACAAGTTGGCCGTCTCCCACCAAGGCAGGGTGACCCAAAAAAGAAAGAAAATCCCCAAAAATAAAATATTTTCATCATCATTCAACACTTTCACCACACTCACACATTATCACTGTTTTTGCAGAGGTGCTCAGAATACAACAGTTTAGAAGCATATATGTATAAAGATACACAATATATCCCTCCAAACCACTAATATATTATTATATTAATATATTATATATTAATATATTACCTTATATTCCTTATATTAATTACTGTACTTTAATATTTTACATCAATACTGTATATTATTATTATTCTTGGCATAATAAAGAAAATAAATATGAAGATAAATTTTATATTGTATTTTGAAAAATTATGTAACCAAGCATGAATATCACTGTAATGAAACTGCATGCTAGTAGCTTTCTCTTGTGCTTAACAATATTTTATTACATGTACACTACATATTGTAAACTGCAGAAAAGAAATAAAGTGTATTGTATTGTAACGTTTCATAAAGTCCCATACAGTGTCCTGTAGCTTGACTGCTAGCACATTCAGCTCACACATCAAGGTCCAGGGGTCGATCCCTGATACAGGTGGAAACATTAGGATGTGTTTAAAGTACCTGTTGTCCATGTTCACCTATCAGTAAAATAGGTACTTGGGTGTTAGTCGACTGGTGTGGATCGCATCCCAGGGATGCAATCCCAAGATGCTCTGCATAACAAGGGGCTTTCTATACAGTAGTATGTCATTGATGTCAGTTAGGACTGTATATCTTGTACATGTCCTTGTAGAAATAAAGATTAGTATTATTATTATTATTATTAACTTTACCTGCGGAACACTGGCTGGTACGCGTCACAGAGCGATGGAGGGCTCGGGGGGAATCTCCGGCCTCAAACCCCAGGTTGAGAGCCCCAACGTATGTTGGACAAACAGCTGACGAATGCGTTGAAGATGCAGATGAGGCGGATGAGGAAGCTGAGGAGGAACTAACTGAAATTATGGAGTGTGGTCTCTTCCCCACGCCACCATTTAAGTCGCCAACAGTGGAGGTTGAACCAGTTCGAAGACGAGGTGCTGCAAAGCATAGGTCGATAAAATATTTGGAGAAAAATAAGTGTATTCATGAGGTGTATTGAAAATAGCCACCAGTAGATGTCTATACGTGGCTGAAATTCTAAGAACACTTTAACAATAAAATGGTAATAATGATAGAATTACCAACAAAATGTTAGGTAAGTGAATACAGATGCAACTAAGGTGGCAATTTACTGTGGTAACGTTTCACTATCTAGGAGCTTTGTCAAGCTGTTACCATAATAAAATATCAATTTAGTTGCATCTGTGTCCACTTACCTTACAACAAGAAAACAGCATAAGCAACTCTAATAAAGAAATTTCATTTCAGTATCTTGACTCACAAAATCGTAGTAACACAACTGCAAAAAAACATGGAACAAGTGAGGTTTGAACCCATGAGACATCCTAAAACTCCAGGCCAGTGTATTAGGACTCACTTGTCATATGTTCAAACCCCCACCTGTTGCCTGGTTCATTTCTATATCTGTGATTTAACACAAACCTTTATTCAACTGATTGATGCTGATAGATCTGTCACTGATCTGATCTTCACTTGGTCGTATATCCAAACATGGCTTGTTACCTATGCCCATAGATGACATCTCGTGCAGCCTCATTGTTCTATTACGGAGTGCCTGGCGCCACAGTAATTTGGATATTTCCTCTGTCCAAGCTTCTTTCATCTCAGCATTGGCAGCTTGAAGAAGGTAAGTGTCCGATGGCTTCCTCTTGCGGAACCAAATTTCAAATTTAGTTGTGCTAACACTGACTTGTTCTGTCAAGCCAATGTCAGTCATTTTCATACTATGTTTATACTGAAATATATCCAGTGTCTGAAAGTTGAAATTATAAAATAATGTTACAATCAAAAAATTTAAATAATATTCATACTACTGTACAATATTTTCAACATACTTGCCATCTCCCACCAAAGTAAGATGACCCAAAATAGGAATCACATTTACCCTCATTCATTCAATAGCTGTCCTGCCAGAAATGAGCAGACATAATTTAAAAAATCCTCTGAACTGCAACATTCCCACCCTTGCTTCTGGGTGCAGGCACTGTACTTCCCACCTCCATGATTCAAGTCCAGCTAACCAGTTTTCCTGAATTCCGAACGTTACTTTGCTCACACTCACAGCATGTCAAGCCATAATAACCATTTGTCTCTAATCAATCCAGTTTAACGATCACAAAAGCATGCTGGATGCTGAAGCCCCTAGCACTCAAAACCTACTTTACCCCCTCCCTCAAACCCAGTTTTATACACCCTTTTGTCCATCTTATTCTGCTTCATCCTTTCTAAATGTCCAAATCACCTCAACAACTCTTCAGCCTTCTCAATCATACCTTCAATAACCCCCTCCCCCACAGTCTTTTAATTTCTATGGTCCAAATTCTCTGTATAACATTTACACTATACAGTGGACCCCCGGTTTACGATATTATTTCATTCTAGAAGTATGTTCAGGTGCCAGTACTGACCGAATTTGTTCCCATAAGGAATATTGTGAATTAGATTAGCCCATTTCAGACCCCCAAACATACACATACAAATGCACTTACATAAATACACTTACATAATTGGTCACATAGGGAGCTGATCGTAAACCGGGGGTCCACTGGATTTTGCTGTTAAATGTACTGCCACTGCCTCTAGCATCTTATATATTTGTATTATGGTCAACATTCTTAGATTTTAATTCTTAACTAGACCTTCTTCACATAAGAAACAGGAGCATAATTTAAATATGCCTTTTTCACTTTTATGTTAGCCAATATGACAAATCTGAGGCATTAATAATGTGAATTTAGAAACAAAATTAACAAAATATGGGGGATTGTTCAAGTGTCTGGAAATAATATTAAAAATTAGCAAGATAGTAATGAATGATTTACCCAGTAGATTTGTCCATTACTGCAAAAGTTTGTTATAAGCGGGCTTTTGATATTAAGGGTCTACCTTATAAAGTACTGTACAGCAAAAAAATATTTTCTTTCAAGAGATAAATTACAATCCTGGAGGAAGTAGAGAGGTAGTCAGAGGAAGATGATCAGTCTACTGTCTCCAGGACTGCCATTTTTATTTTTATTTATTAACACACTGGCCGATTCCCACCAAGGCAGGGTGGCCCAAAAAAGAAAAACTTTCACCATCATTCACTCCATCACTGTCTTGCCAGAAGGGTGCTTTACACTACAGTTTTTGAACTGCAACATTAACACCTCTCCTTCAGAGTGCAGGCACTGTACTTCCCATCTCCAGGACTCAAGTCCGGCCTGCCAGTTTCCCTGAATCCCTTCATAAATGTTACTTTGCTCACACTCATTTATGAAGGGATTCAGGGAAACCGGCAGGCTGGACTTGAGTCCTGGAGATGGGAAGTACAGTGCCTGTACTCTGAAGGAGGGGTGTTAATGTTAATGTATGGAAGAGGGTAAGGTACCTAGGGATTGGCAGAGAGCATGCATAGTTCGTTTGTATAAAGGAATTTTTTTTTTTTTCAACAAGTCGGTCGTCTCCCACCGAGGCAGGGTGACCCAAAAAAGAAAGAAAATCCCCAAAAAGAAAATACTTTCATCATCATTCAACACTTTCACCACACTCACACATTATCACTGCTTTTGCAGAGGTGCTCAGAATACAACAGTTTAGAAGCATATACGTATAAAGATACACAACATATCCCTCCAAACTGCCAATATCCCAAACCCCTCCTTTAAAGTGCAGGCATTGTACTTCCCATTTCCAGGACTCAAGTCCGACTATATGAAAATAACCGGTTTCCCTGAATCCCTTCACTAAATATTACCCTGCTCACACTCCAACAGATCGTCAGGTCCCAAGTATCATTCGTCTCCATTCACTCCTATCTAACATGCTCATGCACGCTTGCTGGAAGTCCAAGCCCCTCGCCCACAAAACCTCCTTTACCCCCTCTTTCCAACCCTTTCGAGGACGACCCCTACCCCTCTTTCCAACCCTTTCGAGGACGACCCCTACCCCTCTTTCCTTCCCCTATAGATTTATATGCTTTCCATGTCATTCTACTTTGATCCATTCTCTCTAAATGACCACATATAATACAATATAGAGAATAAAAGGCACAAAACAGTGTGACTAGTTGATAATCTAAGTTGAACCGAAACGTCATCATAAGTTTCATTGTGGAAAAAGACACTTATGTACAGTTCAGGACATTTATTAGAGGAAACGTTTCGCGACGAGTGGCTTCTTCAGAAGAAGTCACTCATCACGAAACGTTTCCTCTAATAAATGTCCTTAACTGTACATAAGTGTCTTTTTCCACATCTTGTGGTTATCACCATACCATTTCCTCATAAGTTTCATTCTCTTATGGGGTTACATTCTGATGAACCCATCATAACTCAAAAATATCGTAAGTTTATATGCATAGGATATGATAAATAAATAAATAGCTACTGTTACTGAATAAGTATATAAATAAATAATTACTGTAGCTAAATACCAGTAAGAGTAAATGAATAAATACAAGTTATGGACTTGCTGATTTTATGTTGGGTAATTATTTTAAGTTTCATCTCCAAAGTAATTGCCTTTGCACCATCGTGAAGTCAAAATATCATAAGCTGAAAAATTGTTTGTCAAGGAGCACCTGCACTTTATAGGTGAGAAAACTACGAATAAAAAATTTGCAATAAATATAAATAATATCTTTAAGATTTCAAATCTTTTTTTGCCACTAAGTATTAAGTACATTTCCAGTAGTGTGCACTGTTTAATGTCTTCCTAGAGTTTGAGATATGTACAATATAATTTCTGAAGTGAAAAGGAGATCTACATCTAAATCTAAATCCAGTTGACAAGAGAAATCTACCGTACTTTTATTTGAAAGTGAAAAAATAATAGAAATTGAGTAACGTAGCTGACCATTCGTACCTTCTTCTCGGGGTCTCGTCTTGCCTTGCTAAAGAGAATGAGATCTTCAAACAAGAAGACGTGTCTGACTGACTTCTTGGCTCTGCTGCCTTCCCACACCACAAACTCTCCTTGCCTCAACAATCTACCTTGTTCCTTCAGGTTCACCTGCAATGCATGATTACAATAATAATTTTACATATTCAATACACTGCAATACAAGTTTATTTCAACATGATAAATTGTTTTGTACAGAAATGAAAGACACTTCAGTGCGATGCTGAAAGCTCATAGTTATGCAGAGTATTATGGACAAGTTCAAGCCTCACTTACAGAAGTGTCGATTAGTTACAGTGAACCCTCCATATAATGTACTAATATGGGGGGGGGGGGGATAATTGTTCAAGTGTCTGTTGAATCAGAATAGTATTAAAAATAACAAAAAAAATCTTATATACTTTACTATATATCTAATATAGTAATAAATAATTTACACAGCAGATATTTCCCATTATCTCAAAAGTTCATTATAAGCAGGTCCTTGATATCAAGGGACTATATAAAGTAGATTCCTGATATCAAGGGACTTTATAAAGTATGTTCTTTGATATCAAGGTCTATATGTAAGCCCTCTGATATCAAGGGTCTCTTATAAAGTAGGTCCTTGATATCAAGATCTACTTTATAAAATAGGTCCTTGATATCAAGGACCTAGTTTATAGTCCTTGATATAAAGGGTATAATTCACAAAGTCCTTGATATCAAGGGTTTACTTTATAATGTAAGTCCTTTACATGTACAACAGAAGCAGAGATATGAATAATTTTAACCACAGCTGCACGACATGACGGGTAATACAACATACATCACAATCCCTCAAGGAGTCCATAGCAAGGAGGTCATTGCCATGACGCAGCTGAAACTGAACCATCTCCTGGGCCCCCAGGAGATCATCATAGTTTTCCTCTCCGCGGCCACATTCCTTCAGCAACTGTAGGATGCGAGAAAAATAGATTACAGCGTTATTCACAGCATTGTCGGCAACAGATACTCTGAGACTTGGTGTCAGATGAAAAAATTTACACTGAAATGTCCTAAGATGGTAGATGGAAAATATACAGAACACCTAACAACTGTGCAGGAATAAAACTGAAGTATAAACTTCAAAGTACATTGTTATGGACTGTACAACACTGAAAAAAATCCAGTACAGAAAAATCCTTCCTCCATAAGCCATGTGTGTTGTAAGAGGCAACTAAAATGCTGGGAACAAGACCCTAGTAACCCCTTCCCTTGTATAAATTACTAAACGTGAAAAGAAAAACTTCTATTGACCTAAAAAGAAAACTTTCGTTTTCCTTTTTAAGTCAACCTGCCTTGGTAAGATTTTTTTTTTAACAAGTTGCCATCTCCCACCGAGGCAGGGTGGCTCAAAAAGAAAGAAAGTCCCCAAAAAGAAAATACTTTCATCATCATTCAACACTTTCACCTCACTCATACATAATCAATGTTTTTGCAGAGGTGCCCAGAACACAACAGTTTAGAAGCATATACATAATAAGATACACAACATATCTCTCCAAACTGCCAATATCCCAAACCCCTGCTTTAAAGTGCAGGCATTGTACTTCCCATTTCGAGGACTCAAGTCCAGCTATATAAAAATAACCGGTTTCCCTGAATCCCTTCACTAAATATTACCCTGCTCACACTCCAACAGCTCGTCAGGTCCCAAATTCCATTCGTCTCCATTCACTCCTCTCTAACATGCTCATGCATGCTTGCTGGAAGTCCAAGCCCCTCGCCCACAAAACCTCTTTTACCCCCATTATATAAAATGGATTATAATTCAATCAAGTCCCTTTTTATAATTCACAGATGATCACTGTTCATGTAACTTACCTGTTTAAGAATTAGAGCATACTTTCCCATACGTTGTACAGGTTTTAACAAGTACGAGGCAAGGTCCATCCTGTCCTCCAGCTCCAGCTGTTTCTTCCGAAAGAACGCAGACCCGTACTCTGACATTAGTGAATCTGACTTTGGCTTGTTCTTGTTGTAGAGAGCATACAGGTAAAACTGACTCTCCTGAAAGTTAAAAAAAATAATGACAAATAAATATTTATGCACCTTAAGGTCATTATTCTTCAAGGAAAGCCTATGTATATACTGTATCCTTACAAAAGGAGGTACAGTATTCTGTTACTGTAGTTTTTTTCTTTTTCAGGTCATCCTGCCTCGATGGGAGATGACTGGTATGCTTAAAAAAAAAAAGTACTCTGTAACCTACAGTAACTCCTGTCTGAACATAATAACAACAGCAATAATAATAATAATAATAATAATAATAATAATAATAATCCATTTTATTCATCTATCTATTCATTTATGTAGAAAATATTTCTTAAGTATATTATTACTGGTACTTACATATCTCAGAAATATCGAGCCCACTGCAAAAGGTCGCATCTCGCAAGCTTCAAGGGCATGTAGAAAATATCCGGAGTGAAATTCATATATTTTTTCAATATTGCCAAAGACAACGTTACGTTGGCCCCTGAGAGCTTGTGGTATGTCTTCTCTCATCAACTCAGGGATGTAATTCTAGAGAAAAAGAAATATCTTTTAGAATGGCAAGTTAAAATATTAAACCTTTGATTTAATGGCCTAATAGGGGAAAGGGTAGCAAGTTGCCAGTAATGGTTACTGTGGTGGACAAAGATGAGTCTTTTTGGCCATAAGCTTAAGAATAAAGGACAATTCTGTCATCACATAATTTGTCCCATATTTCTGCCTCAGTAGGAGACAGCCAGTGTGCTTAAAAATGATCTGAAGTCAGTTACCATATTTTACAGCATCAGACACTATTTCTTTTCCCAAGACAGGTTTAAAAAATTTACCCAGCATCTTGGAAGCTGAAGTACCGTTTATTTTTTTTCCAAAACTAAGCCAATCAGAATGTGAGGGGGGGTGGGGGTTCGTCGTCGTCATCCTCGACGCCAGAGTATCTTTTTCGCAGTAAAATATGGTAAATTGAGGACCATTAGCTCCCTGGTTTACTGTACAGTATTTCATTATTATAAGACAATATATTACAAACTAATTCTGTAAACTTAAATTAATTTACATTTCAGCCCAGTGTTTTTCAAGGGCTAACATTATACTTACCTCAATAATATATTCAAGGGAATTAACGTAATCTCTCTCTGTTTGAATCAGTTCCCTCATGATCAGCAAAAGAGTCCTAAAGAAATAAATAAAAATATGTTATTACAAAATACTCTTCAGGAGTTATTACATAAGTTTCATTTCTCCTTAATATAATCATTGTACAAACAACCTGCACATAGGAGAGAGAAACTTATGACAATATTTCAGTCCGACTCGGACCTCCTTGCTCATCTGCAATCCTGCTCTCTATCTTACCTCTAATTATTTCAATAATGACACAACCATACACTTTACCTGGTATACTCAGTAAACTCATTCCCCTATAATTTTTACAATCTCTTTTGTCTCCGTTCCCATTATATAAAGGAGCTATACATGTTCTCTGCCAATCCCTAGGTACCTCTCCCTCTTTCACACATTTATTAAACAAAAACACCAACCACCCCAACACTATATCCCTCCTGCTTTTAACATTTCTGTCATGATCCCGTCAGTACCAGCTGCTTTACCCCCTTTCATTCTACGTAATGCCTCGCGCACCTCCCCCACACTCACATCCTGCTCTTCTTCATTCCTAAAAGATGTTATACTTCCCTGGTCAGTGCATGAAATTACTGCCTCCTTTTCTTCATCGACATTTGAAAGTTCCTCAAAATATTCCCGCCATCTACCCAATGCCTCCAGCTCCCCATCTACTAACTCCCCTACTCTGTTTTTAACTGACAAATCCACTTGAATAAGATGATTGATACTGTACAATTATGCAGGAGCTTTGCCAAGTTCTGTCAAAACTCACAAAATGATGAAGCTTCAGCATTCTGGTACCATAAAAAGTACATGTGCCTGAAATATCATTACAGTGGACCCTTGGTTTTCACGATTAATCTGGTCCAGAGTCTACTGAAAACCAAAATTCATGAAAATCAATACAATTTTCCCCAGAAGAAATAATGTAAATTCAATTAATCCATTCCAGACACCCAGAAGTATTAACAAAAAAAATTTTTTTTTAGAGATAAAATAAGAGATTTATATACAGAAATGAATGACAAATCAATATAAAGCAAAAACATCACACTTACCTTTATTGAAGACTTGTTGGTGTATGGAAGACAGGGAGGAGGGGAGAGGGAGGACTGATTAGTGTTTGGAAGGAGAATCTCCATCCATAAAGACTTCAGGTACCAAGTCCTTATCAGGGGTTACTTCCCTTCTTTGTTTTTACTGGCACTAGGACCAGCTTGAGAGTCACTGGACCCCTGTCGCACAAAATTTTTTTCCAGAGAGCTATGTTTCTGGCATCTCTTTAAGATTTGCCTAAAATGGGACAAGGCATTGTCATAGAACATGTTGCAGACACAGCCTGCAACAGCTTTGTTAGAGTGACATTTTTCCACAGAACTTTGCAACTCATTCCACTTTGCACAAATGTACTTAATCACTGAAGAAGGCACCTTCTTCCCTCTCTCTTCCTCCTCCTCTGAAGCAATTTCCTCAGTTGTGGTCTGTTGCTGTTCCAGCTGAAGGTCTTGCAGCTCTTCAGTGGTTAGCTCTTTAATGTAGTCGTCCACCAACTCTTCCACATCCTGGCACTCACATCCAACCCCATGGACTTCCCCAAAGCTACAATGGATTCCACAACAGGCGTAGGGTTGTCAGGTGTGTGCGGGAAGTACCCTGGCTGGTGTGTGGGGAAGTACTCTGGCTGGTGTGTGGAGAAGTATCCTGGCTGGTGTATGGGGAAGTACCCTAACTGGTGTGTGGGGAAGTACCTTGTCTGGTGTGTGGGGAAGTACCTTGTCTGGTGTGTGGGGAAGTACCCTGGCTGGTGTGGGGAGGTACCCTGTCTAGTGTGTGGGGAAGTACCTGACTGGTGTGTTCTTTCTTGAATTCTATCATATTTCTCACCCTCTTTATCAAAGGGCTGGCACTAGCAGCTTTCTTTGGGACCATCGTGGCTTATTTAGCAGTCACACACAATAAACAAGCGCAAAAAAAAAATGTATTATTACGAAATGTTTCGTATTACCTCTCAGGGTAATGTTCACTCGCTGAAAAACAATGTCACACTAACTCTGAATGCGTCTGTGGGAGGCTTTGTGTGCACAGGGCCACTGGGATACGTCCTGTACGACAACCGAAATCCAATGGAAATCACGAAAACCAAGGCTATATTTTGACGAAATAAGTTGCAGATAACCAAAATTCACGAAAACTGAGACTCACGAAAACCAAGGGTCCACTGTATATCCAGTTCACTCACCAGAATCTTAGCTTCTTCCTATAATGTGCAGATGCTGTCCAGTCTAAGGACACTTCTGCCATTACCTCTCCAGCCGTACTCTCTATCACAGAGTGAACACTCTTCACAATTGTTTGACAATTAAAACCTTCCTCACAGTACACCAGTGGCATATGGTGGTTAGTGTCACAGGGTGTGCACTGTGCTACCATGCTAAACCTTCTACTCTAGCACAAGTACTATTACTTTGAACAACTGCTGCAATATTTAATAATGGGGGACAGAAAAATTGGTTTCCCATTATGATCTATGATTAAATTATTCATTAAGCTTAATATTTACAATGAATTTACCATCTTTGGTGGGTGCACAGTGCTCACCTAGCACACACTGTAGTACACATTCATTAGAATACACTTCTTATAAAAACATTTGGAAAGGCTTTCCTTTCCTGGAGTCATGTGAACTCTATTAATTTTTTATCATGTTTTATTTATTTATTTATTTATTTTATGTCTTTGCAAACAGTACATTGAGATTTTGTATTTGCAATAGTGGGTTGCAATGCAAAGAGGGCCTCTATTATGCCTAGGCATTATGGGCCAACTTAACATTAGTGGCTTACAGACTACTTAACACTAAGGATTATATCATAGTTTTACAGTAGGATAGTAATTATTTCATAGTTGTACAGTAGATTATTAATTAAAGTGAATCAAATTTGTATAAGACAAAAGATATATTCTTTCTTTCTTCTTTCAACGCACCAGCCGTATCCCACTGAGGTGGGGTGGCCCAAAAGGACAAACGAAAGTTTCTCCTTTTAAATTTAGTAATATATACAGGAGAAGGGGTTAAAAGATATACATCTTTCTTTCAACACACTGGCCGTATCCCACCGAGGCAGGGTGGCCCAAAAAGAAAAACGAAAGTTTCTCTTTTAAATTTAGTAATTTATACGGGAGAAGGGGTTACTAGCCCCTTGCTCCCGGCATTTTAGTCGCTTCTTACAACACGCATGGCTTACGAAGGAAGAATTCTGTTCCACTTCCCCATGGAGATAAGAGGAAATAAACAAGAACAAGAACTAGAAAGAAAATAGAAGAAAACCCAAAAGGGGTGTGTATATATATGCTTGTACATGTATGTGTAGTGTGACCTAAGTGCAAGTAGAAGTAGGAAGACGTACCTGAAATCTTGCATGTTTATGAGACAGAAAAAAGGACACCAGCAATCCTACCATCATGTAAAATAATTACAGGCTTTCATTTTACACTCACTTGGCAGGACGGTAGTACCTCCCTGGGTGGTTGCTGTCTACCAACCTACTACCTATGAAAAGATATACATCTATTCATATATTCTAAAATGCTTTTTTTACATAGCTCATTAGAATACTGTACTGTACTTAGTTTACAACAGCTTAGTGGGGTACTGTGCCCAATTATGAAATTTAATTAATATCACATCGGTTTGTTTGTTAGGTTTAAAATCTACTACTTGAATAAGGGCCACTAAAACTGCAATTATCTTACACAACATACAAAAATAATTTAATCCTAAAATTAGGGATTCAACTATGGGTCTCCTCTATACCATATATTCAGACATATAATTCTCAAAGTATATGCAACACTGCTCTCAGTGTGTATTCACTGCTTTCAGTGTATATACACTGAAAGAAACTCCCTTCAGAATTTAAATAGTAACTGCATATCACATCCCATCAGAAAACTTAAGTGTATATCGGTGTTAGAGTTCGTTATGTCTCCTTTAACTTGGGCAGTACTTGCTATACTATAATTTTCACTATGAAATCAATTACGTAAAATAGAGCTATTTCAAAGTGTGATATTTAAAGTAAAATGTACAAATATTATTTGCAGGATAACGTACTTGCTCTTTTTCACTTCCTCCTGTGACAGGTCGTCAGTGTTGATAGATAAGTTGAGCTGTGACCCACGGATTAGTAGATGAGAATTGACAGCAGAGGATGGAGGGATGCTCTTGTGGCTTGTTGGTGAAAGTGGTACACCGTCATCCATCCTGTGGGATAAACAGTGAAACAATGAAAGTCTTGAAAATATCTACACTGTCATCCATCCTGTGGGATAAACAGTCAAACAATGAAAGTCTTGAAAGTATTTACACTGTCATCCATCCTGTGGGATAAACAGTCAAACAATGAAAGTCTTGAATGTATCTACACTGTCATCCATCCTGTGGGATAAACAGTCAAACAATGAAAGTCTTGAAAGTATTTACACTGTCATCCATTCTGTGGGATAAACAGTCAAACAATGCGGCTTTCAAGATATTGAAGTGTTTGGTAATGTCTGTATTATACACTTCATTAACATACAATGGAGTTTTGCTGAAATGCATTTAGTGATTTCATGTGAAAATAATAATAATAATAATGATGGTACTTACACTTAGGTCACACTACACATACATGTACACATTTATTTATACACACTCATCTGAGTTTTCTTTGATTTTATCTTAATAGTTCTTGGTCTTATTACTTTTCCTTTTATATCCATGGGGAAGTGGAATAAGAATCTTTCCTCCGTAAGCCATGCGTGTTGTAAAAGTCAACTAAAATGCCGGGAACAATGGGCTAGTAACCCCTTTTCCTGTAAAGATTACTAAAAAGAATAAGAAGAAGAAAATTGTCAAAGTGGGAAGTCTGAATGTGCGTGGATGTTGTGCAAATGATAAGAAAAGATGATTTTTGGATGTTATGAATGAGAAGAAGCTGGATGAAACTGGCTTTAAGTGAAACAAAGCTGAAGGGGGTGGAGAGTTTCAATGGAGAGGAATAAATGGGATTGGGTCAGAGGTTTCAAATAGAGTTAGAGCTAAAGAAGGAGTAGCAATAATGTTGAAGATAAGCTAGGGCAGAAAAGAGGGACTATAAATGTATTAATTCAAGGATTAGGGTGGAGTAAAATAAAGATTGGATGTGAAAAGTGGGTTATAAAAGCGGTATGCACCTGGAGAAGGGAGAAGTGTAAGGAGAGAGAAAAGTTTTTGGGGAAAATTTTGAGTGAATGCATGGGAGTTTTGAATCAAGTGTGAGAGTAATGGTGTTGGGGATTTCAATGCATTATTACTATTAAAGATTCGCCGGTATTCTCCCGCCCAGGCCTTTTCCAAGTGGTGGCCCGGCCTTGGCTCCCTCTTTAGGGAGTGTCTGAGACCTAAGTCTCCCATGGGAGGAGGCACAAGTACCTCCTCATCTTTGGGACCAACTGTCCCCAGGCCTAGCCACAAGCTGGGCCCCAAGGGGGGGCTAATGGGAAAATGACAGTCTTAATGAGCTAAAGGCTCGGGCTCAGGCACCTACCCTACCCTAGAAGGGTTAGGCATGGTGTCGATCATTTCAATGCTAAAGTGGGCAACAACAAGCAAGTGAGAGGTGAAAGTGTGTAAACTAAGGGAGGAGGAAATTCGGGTGAGATATAAGCGACTATTGGGAGAAAGGTGGGCTAGTGAAAGTGAGTAGTGGGGGGGGTTGAAGAGGGTTGGAATAGTTTTAAAAATGCAGTATTAGAATGGGGCAGAAGTTTGTGATTATAGGAGGGGGGGGGGCAAAGGGGGAAGAGGATGATTGGTGGAATGATGAAGTAAAGGGTATGAAAAAAGAGAAAAAGGTACTTATGAGAGGTTTTTACAAAGCAGAAGGTTATAAAAGAGCAGAGTATAAAGGAGAGTAAAAGAAAGGTGAAGAGAGTGGTGAGAGAGTGCAAAAGGAGAGCAGATGATAGAGTGGGAGAGGCACTGTCAAGAAATTTTAATAAAATAAGAAAAAAATTTTGAGGGGTTTAAAACAAGTTAAGAAACCTAGGAAAAATGGATTTGTCAGTTAAAAACAGAGTAGGGAGTTAGTAGATGGGGAGATGGAGTATTGGGTAGATGGCGAAAAATTTTTGAGGAACTTTAAAATGTTAAGGAAGAAACAAGGCGTAATTTCATGCCCTGGTCAGGGAGGTATACCATCTTTTTGGAGTGAAGAAGAGCAGAATGTAAGTGTGGGGGAGGTAAAGTGAGGCATTAAAGTAAAATGAAAGGGGGGAAAGCAGCTGGAACTGTGGGATCATGACAGAAATGTTAAAAGCAGGGGGGATAAGTGTTGGGGTGGTTGGTACTTTTTGTTTAATAAATTAGAAAGAGGGGAAGTGCCAGGGATTGCAAGAGCATGTAAGTCCCCCTTATATAAAGGAAAAGGGACAAAAGAGACTGTAAAAATTAAAGAGGAATAACTTACTGAGTTACCAGGGGGGGTGTAACGTAAGGTTATAATTAAAAGAATTTGAGGTAAGACAAAAGTAGGATGCATGAGCAAGGGTTTTAAGTGGTAGGGATTGTGATCAGTTTTGCATGAAGCATAATGTGAACAGAATTTAAATAAAATAGGAGTTTTATTGCATTATGGATTTAGAAAAGGCATATGATAAAGTTAAGGAGCAATGTGGGAGATTGTTGCCCAAATAAAGGAAAGGGGTATTATTAAATGCGTAAAGAGTTTTTAAAGAGGATGGTGAGGCTCAGGTTAGGGTGTGTAGAAGAGAGGGAGACTGCCTTTTCCGGTAAAAGTAAAGGTCTTTTAGGACAGGGATGTTTAATGTCACCATGGTTGTTTAATATATTTATAGATGGGGTTTGTAAAGGAATATAATTGCTAGGGTTTTGGGAGGGGTGGGATTAAAATTTATGGGATCAAATTCAAAATGGAATTGACACAGGGTTTCTTTTTTGCTGAGGAATACGTGCTTATGGGAGATTCTAAAGAAAAAAAAATTTCAAAGGTAGTGGATGAAATTTGGGAATGTGTGTAAAGGTAGAAAGTTGAAAGTGAACATAGAAAAGAGTAAGTGATGAGGGGGTCAAATGATTTAGATAAAAAAAATTTGGGTATCAAATTGGGGGAGGAGTGTGGAAAAGTGAATGTTTTCAGATACTTGGGAGTTGACGTGTCGGCGGATGGATTTATGAAGGATGAGGTTAATCATAGAATTGATGAGGGAAAAAGGTGAGTGGTGCTTTGAGGTATATGTGGAGTCAAAAAACGTTTCTATGGGGCAAAGAAGGGAATGTATGAAAGTAAAATAGTAAACCCAAAACTCTTTTATGGGTGTGAAGCTTGGGTGGGAAATGCAGCCCGAGGAGAAAGGTTGGGGGCAGCGGAGATGTCCCTGTTTGGGGCAAAGTGTGGTGTAAATATTATTTCAGAAAGTTCGGAGTGTGGAAATTAGGAAAAAGGTGGTGGAGTTAAAAAAAAGTATTAGTCAGAGGGCAGAAGAGGGGTGTTTTAGGTGGTTTGGTCATTTAGAGAGAATGGATCACAGTAGAGTGACATGGAAAGCATATAAATCTATAGGGGAAGGAAGGCGGGTAGGGTCGTCCTTTAAAGGGTTGGAGAGGGGGTAAAGGAGGTTTTGTGGGTAAGGGCTTGGAAATTCCAGCAAGCGGCGTGAGCGTGTTAGATAGAGTGAATTTGGGGACGAATGGTACTTGGGACCTGACGATCTGTTGGAGTGTGACAGGAATATTTATGAAGGGATTCAGGGAAACCGGTTATTTTCATATAGTCGGACTTGAGTCCTGGAAATGGGAAGTACAATGCCTGCACTTTAAAGGAGGGGTTTGGGATATTGGCAGTTTCGAGGGATATGGTGTGTATCTTTTTATGTATATGCTTCTAAACTGTTGTATTCTGAGCACCTGTGTAAAAACAGTGATAATGTGTGAGTGTGGTGAAAGTGTTGAATGATGATGAAAGTATTTTCTTTTTGGGGATTTTCTTTCTTTTTTGGGTCACACTGCCTCGGTGGGAGACGGCCGACTTGTTGAAAAAAAAAAAAAAAACATGTAAAGACCCTTCAAGTAGGTGTCTTGATGCTGGTGAAGGGCCCTTGATGGGAGCAATCTCCACTTTCTCCAATCAACCTGGATTACCTTCCACTACCTCTATTCAATAAATGTTTATAACTCTAACCATAATTTTTAAAGGGGGTGGAGGGGTAAGCCATTAGAAGGCCTCAGTCAGATGACTAAAAGCTCCAGGTAAGGGTCATCATATGAATAAGACTTGTGTCGGGGAACACTTGTCCTATCTCCTGACAAGCCTTACCTAACGTAACATAACCTACTTCCCACTCCCTATGCATCATATAATCCCCTATGGGTTTAGTACTTCTCTATGAATATTTTAATGATAATGCATATAAACAATCAAATTTATTAATCTTGAAATTTCTATTATCTGATGTTTTCCAATAGCCATAACTGTGTTATTTGGAGCTTAATTCTCATACAAGTATACCCCTCCAATACAGCAGGTTATATTCCAGACTGCTGCTGTAAAGAGTATCATAATTTTTTCTTCACTTGCTAGTGCATAAAAAGCTTAAAAACATGTTTACACAATAACATAGGCCTAAAAATGATGCAAAAGTAAAAATAATAAACAAAAAATTCCAAAAACCATCTTAAGAGCAAAGCAAGTGTCAAAAATAATAAACATGAATATAATTGAAAAGTACTGTATTAGCAAAACACTCTTAAAGCAAAACACCTAAAGCAAGGTATGCCTGAACATACATTTAAAAATTTTAATTTCAATTTTTTTTTTCAACAAACCGACTGTATCTCACCGAGGCAGGGTGGCCCAAAAAGAAAAACAAAAGTTTCTCTTCTTAAATTTAGTAATATATACAGGAGAAGGGGTTACTAGCCCCTTGCTCCCGGCATTTTAGTCGCCTCTTACAACACGCATGGCTTACGGAGGAAGAATTCTGTTCCAGTTCCCCATGGAGATAAGAGGAAATAAACAAGAATAAGAACTAGTAAGAAAATAGAAAAAAAACAGAGGGGTGTGTATATATATATGCTTGTAAATGTATGTGTAGTGTGACCTAAGTGTAAGTAGAAGTAGCAAGACGTACCTGAAACCTTGCATGTTTACGAGACAGAAAAAAGGACACCAGCAATCCTACCATCATGTAAAACAATTACAGGCTTTCGTTTTACACTCACTTGGCAGGACGTTAGTACCTCCCTGGGTGGTTGCTGTCTACTAACCTACTACCTATATTAATTTCAAATATCAACTAAAATAAAAATGTATAATTATTCTCATGTTAACACTGAGGAAACTACCAATAATTTCAAATGCATAAACACAACAAGTACATATATGTAAGGACAGCTGTATGACCCTTGTGAGTTTAGTTTTGATAATAATAATACTATATGTAAGGACTTTCCATGTACAGCTGGAGAGTAGCTGAATCTTTGAGTTATGAGGATCAGATATGAAATGCAAAAAATATCTTACCCTGAACTTTCATCAGTGTGCTCTTTGGGTATAAGACCATACTGCCAAGTATTGGCTCTTTTCATGAATTTTTTGTTGACAGAGACGGGCCCAGAGCTCTCACTAGAGGAGCAAGAACTGCTGCCACAGGTGCCACTGGAGCCAGACGATGAGGTTGTGATACCTGAAGCAGTGGAGGTTAACTTGGCAGTGGTTGGGGATGGCAGCGGTGAAGGCTGCTGCAGGTCTTCAGCACTCTCCCGAACCTCCTTGATGCCACCCAGGCTAGTGCGAGGTTCCAGCGGGGTTTTGGCAGGCGGTGGGGGGGGCGGTGGGTCGAGAAAGACAGAATCATCGTCAGTATCGAGCGAGGGACACCTTGACAGTGCCTCTCGTGGACGTGACCCGACCGATGACACTGACCGTCGCCGACCCGACACATTCAGAGGTGAACATGCTAGCCAAGCTAAGGGAGACATCTCTTCACCCCCTCCAAACACCTCGCCCAAGTCCACAAAGCTCTGACAATCAAATTCCATCTGCCGCTTTGCTTTGTGGAGTGCCGCTTGGCGGTTACGCAGAAGTTCGTGTGTTTCTTGACATCGAACCTGAGCCATCTGTAAAATGAATTACATTTTAGGAGAGATAATTTTGTAACTTAACATTATTACTTTTAAAAAGAAACTAACAATGAATATAAAATATATTAAAATCTCAACACCCATCATTATTCTAAAACAAAAAATAAACTTCAAAGAATTCAGATCTAAGAGACTCGGTTATCATTTAAAATATTTAACTTTACTATGTTATCCTAAATTAAATCCTCATAATGTATAACCATTACTTCCACCAGAGTCTGGTCCCAGACCAGACCTCCTGGTTGAGGGGCTAAACAACCAGTACAGGTACCACTTATACAGTATGTTAGGTTTCAGGTTACTGTAGGGCCCCGCTTATACAGCAGGTTAGGTTCCAGGTTACTGTAGGACCCCGCTTATACAGTAGGTTAAGTTCCAGGTTACTGTAGGGCCCCACTTACACAGCAGGTTAGTTTCTGGGCTACTGTAGGGCCCCGCTTATACAGCAAGTTAGGCTCCGGCTTATTGTAGTGCCCTGCTTATGCAGCAGGTTAGGTCTCAGGTTACTGTAGGGCCCTGTTTATACAGCAAGTTAGGTTCTAGCTTATTGTAGGGCCCTGCTTATACAGCAAGTTAGGTTCCAGGCTTCTGCTGTAAAGTGAATCATAGCCCTTTTTTTTCATTTTCAAATGCATATAAAACCCTGACAACACCTGGAAAATCCTAGAGGGACTAGTACCGAACTTGCACACGAAAATCACTCACTACGAAAGCAAAAGACTTGGCAGACGATGCACCATCCCCCCAATGAAAAGCAGGGGTGTCACTAGCACGTTAAGACACCATACAATAAGTGTCAGTGGCCCGAGACTGTTCAACTGCCTCCCAGCACACATAAGGGGGATTACCAACAGACCCCTGGCAGTCTTCAAGCTGGCACTGGACAAGCACCTAAAGTCAGTTCCTGATCAGCCGGGCTGTGGCTCGTACGTTGGTTTGCGTGCAGCCAGCAGCAACAGCCTGGTTGATCAGGCTCTGATCCACCAGGAGGCCTGGTCACAGACAGGGCCGCGGGGGGGTTGACCCCCGGAACTCTCTCCAGGTAAACACGTTTTTCTGGAAGTGTGGCATGGGGCAAAATCCTGCTGGTAAATGCCTTTTCCATCAGAAAAGTCTCTATCCACAGTGGGAAGCAAATGAGTCGCCAGGATTGCCTTGTATTTGTCACTGTTCATCATTCCCTCAACAATAACAAGCCGTCCAGGGCCTTTAGAGCTAAAATTAACCCAAAACATCTTCTTAAGTGGGTATTTTGGCGTCTGTTGCATGTGTCCATTCTGAAGAGGCTTGCCTTTGCTCCATCTCACTACCACTGATCTGTTCCCATGTACTTCAAAATGCACCTCATCTGAAAATATAACTTTTCTCAATTCATCTGTCGTCTATCACTTATGATCGAGTGCACACCACAGTCTTTTTTTTCTTCAATGCAGCAGTGCAGTCAATACTTGCTTCTTTACCAGCTTTCTGGTAGTTCTGTCAACTTCTGGGAGCCTTTGTCGAACAGTTGAAAAATCAACATTTACACCAACCGAAGCCAACTTTCTATAGATCTTTGTTGATTTTTGGGGATCCTTCACACTGTTTCTTATGATAACTTTGTCACAGTGAGGTACTGTCATGCATTTTCTTCCACATCTTCCTCGATGCAGCGTCCACAATCACCAGTGTCATCAGCTCTCTTTAGAATCCGACCAACAGTTGACTTTGCTTGGCTCAAATTTTCGCTAATCCATTTGATACTCAAATCAGCCTATTTTCTAGGAGCTACAATACTTGCACACTTTCTAGGTGTAACATCCATCATGAATTTCAGTAGTACTCATGAACAGAAGGGGAGAATTTGGTGAAACCGCATTTACTCATGGAGCACGCTTGCAGAAATAGCCTTATAGAACAACAGCTGTTGTAGCACTGACAAGAGTCGCAAGGTAACACAGCTGGATGGTTGCCAGAAGTCAGTAGTAAACTCTTATGAAAAGAAACCAAATTACATAAATTAAGCCGGAGACTAAGACATATTATGAGATAATTACAGAATTTATTCCTGTCCCAATTAATCTGCACACTACCGTACTTAGCCTGGTCTGAGACTGGATCGTGGGGGCCATGATGACAGTAGTCCTGTCCTTCAAGGAGGGAGGGGAAGTTGAACTGGTACTGGTGGAGGACTCTTGATCCTAACATTTGGAGCTACTCTCTACTGCCTTGGATTTAACCCAATTACTGTACATTTCCCATTCCCCAGGTACTGCATGACCATATAGAATTATAACAATTGCCAGTGATTATTATAATAGATGATGATGAAGACTAATTAATAATAACGAGAAACATAATAAGAATAGAAATAAGAAATCCTAATAATAATAAAAATCTTAAAATAATATAATAATAATAATAATAATAATAATAATAATAATAATAATAATAATAATAATAATAATTATAATAATATTGATGGTTGAGTTACCTTGCACTGTTGCAGGAGGGTGTGGTTGTTGAGTCTGGTAGCCAGGGTGGTCATGGCAGTGAAGTTGTCTTCAGGTATGGGCGGGTGTTCCTCCAGGTGGGCGGTGAGGGCGCGGGCGGCCGCCCCCACCTGCTCAGGTGAGGCCAGACCCTCCCCCTTCACCCGACCCACCACCTTCATCGCTTCCAGCGCCCATTCGTAGGCCTAAAATATAATAATCATCACTTTTTTGACATCTAAGTAAGACACCTATGCAACAGTTAGGTATCTTTATTTCGAAACGTTTCGCCTACACAGTAGGCTTCTTCAGTCGAGTACAGAAGAGACGTGAAGACGATGTCATCAGTCCATCACCCTTGAAGTTTTGAGGTGGTCAGTCCCTCAGTCTGGAGAAGAGTATCGTTCCATAGATGGACTGATGACATCGTCTTCACGTCTCTTCTACCAACTTTTGTGTACTCGACTGAAGAAGTCTACTGTGTAGGCGAAACCTTTCGAAATAAAGATACCTAACTGTTGCATATGTCTTACCTAACAACCTGTCGGTATTTTATACCATTTTAATATTCACAACATCTAAGTAAATGTTATTTTGGCATATAAGTACATAACTGTTATTTATATATCTTAGTAACTGTTATCTTAACATCTAAGTAACTTATATTATTAAGTAACTGTTATTTTGACGTAGGTTCTGATCCACAGAATTGTATGACCGTCCTTTATAGTTACAGCACCTCGATGTAGAATCTGGTCCACAACTGAAGCTACACTCCCTCCTTCCTTCCTTCTTAGAGTGAATCTGATTTCCTTCCATCCCCACGGGCGCTATATGACACCTACACTAACACTGATGGAGTGTACCCACAGTGCATGAGAACGGTAGTGCAGGAAATGGTACTTTATAGCGAAGACGTTTCGCCCATCAAAATGCCATAACCCGCACTGTGTTTTATTTATATGACCTCTCCCATAATGAATTAATAACATTAATATTTAACTGCCATAATTAGGATAATTATCATCAATTATCAAGCATGTGCTCACTTCCCTCCCTCACTTGTCCACTCCATTCAAATCGAAATCGTTTAATTTTCCAACATTGTTCTTCAATGTGTCCTCCCTGAAGGGCCATATATATAGCCAATGAAAACTATGAGCAAACACTATTGGCTGGGAAAACAAGTAATTTAATCACAACAAGAATGGTACACGTGGCTATTAGCCAGAAGAGGGGGAGGGGGACTGAGGACGCCATGTTGAAACAAAGGAAGGCGCACTCGGCGTTTGTTGACATGGCGGGTGTTTTCGACCCTGTCATTATACCCCAGCTGCTGCCTCTTACCACCCTCCTATAATCCCATCATTCATCAGGCCAATAATATCATCTACATACAAGTGTCCTTTTGTTAACATGTGCCAATAATCAATTCCCCCTTTTACAAAGACGCCCGCCATCTTTTCCACTCTGTTTCATCAGCAGGTGGTCAAACACTATATTGTAAGATGATATAATACGTTGAATAAAGCACGCACGAGCAAAAGACCAAATGATTGTTGGTTAAAGAGGGGTAGGTCTTCCTCAACGAAAGAGGTGGAGAGCCAGGAGCTGTGACTCGACCCCTGCAACCACATATAGGTGATGCAATAATCGCAACCGAGCGATAACACCTCTCCTTCCGACAGTATTTAAGTCTCCGCACTGTCGCTTGATCTTCAGATAGTTCCTGACTATGGAACTGAACTTCTCCAGGCCGAGGGACTGACAACCTCAAATTCTACGACTTCAAGGGTGATGGACTGATTACATCGTCTTCACATCTCTACTGTTCCTGCCTACTTTCTGTATTCGACTGAAGAAGCCTACTGTGTAGGCGAAACGTTTCGGAATAAAGTTGCCTAACTGTTGCCTATGTGTCTTACCTACCAACCTGTCGGTATTGTATACCATTTTGATGTTCAGATGCAAATCAACCACAGGGGAAAGGTGCTAAATGACAGATCTAGGCTTTTCGTGTTGCAGCCAACACTTTGTATTAATATTGGTAGAATTACCGACAATATGTTAACTAATGCGACAATTTATTGTGGCAACGTTTCGCTCTCCAGGAACTTGCAACAGTGAAAAGGAATAGAGATCAGTCCAGATAGGCGTGTTTATGGAGACATTCTACAAGGATGTCTCCACAGATGCTGTCATTCAACTTCCCCTCCATCCTTCCCTGTGGCTGATTTACATATTATACGTAGGTGAATCTAATAAAAATAATATATGGATACCATCCAAATACCTAGCCTGGGGTCATGGACATGTGGGTGAGCGGGCCTGGTTCACCAGGCAAGCACCAGACGAGCCTGGCCCATGGCCGGGCTCCAAAAGTAGAAAAACTCTCGAAACTCATCAAAGGTAAAGGTATGGATATAAGAATGGGAAGCCTTGTCTTACAAACCTGCTGGAGTTCCACGACACAGTCACATATATAAAGCAAGAGATACCTTCAGGTATCAGGTAAGAGAGACAGGAATGACTGATCTGCATAATCCTGTTATGAAGGAAAGTACAAGACATACTGTAGTTCCTCGTGACATACTGCAGTTCCTCGTGACATACTGTAGTTCCTCGTGACATACTGCAGTTCCTCGTGACATACTGTAGTTCCTCGTGACATACTGTAGTTCCTCGTGACATACTGTAGTTCCTCGTGACATACTGCAGTTCCTCGTGACATACTGTAGTTCCTCGTGACATACTGTAGTTCCTCGTGACATACTGCAGTTCCTCGTGACATACTGCAGTTCCTCATGACAATGTAGTTCCTCGTGACATACTGCAGTTCCTCGTGACATATTGTAGTTCCTCATGACATACTGTAGTTCCTCGTGACATACTGCAGTTCCTCGTGACATATTGTAGTTCCTCATGACATACTGTAGTTCCTCGTGACATACTGCAGTTCCTCGTGACATACTGTAGTTCCTCGTGACATACTGCAGTTCCTCGTGACATACTGCAGTTCCTCGTGACATACTGCAGTTCCTCATGACATACTGTAGTTCCTCGTGACATACTGCAGTTCCTCATGACATACTGTAGTTCCTCGTGACATACTGTAGTTCCTCGTGACATACTGCAGTTCCTCGTGACATACTGTAGTTCCTCGTGACATACTGTAGTTCCTCGTGACATACTGCAGTTCCTCGTGACATACTGTAGTTCCTCGTGACATACTGTAGTTCCTCGTGATATACTGCAGTTCCTCGTGACATACTGCAGTTCCTCGTGACATACTGTAGTTCCTCATGACATACTGCAGTTCCTCCCCAGAGACTAATGAACAAGCGGCAGGAACACAGACCGGTAATAGAAACAGCAGTAGAGTGGATTAAAGAGTACCTAGAGTACAAAGAGTAAACTAGATGAGACATCAGGACGGGAAGCCGTGACAAACAAGATGCTCAAAGGATCAGTGTTAGGGCCACTACTGTTTCTGATTTACATAAACGATCTTCCAGAGGAAATTGAATCACGTCCTTGTTTGCAGATGACGTGGAACTGAAAAATATTAACACTTGATACACTCCAGAGTCTATTTCCATTTAAGTCTTCCTGGGAAGACTAGAGTTGAATAAATGGTCCAACGAAGTGCTATTCGAGTTTAATCAGCACACTGAAGACAAATGGTATAAAATATCGACACGATGAACACAATTGCAGTGTAATAAGATACATTACTGACAATGAAGGATCTCATCACACTGCATCTGTCTCTCCATGTCCTCTTCAAACAACACTTACACGACAATGCAAATCCCTTTAGAGGAGGAGGGGGAAACCGGAAGCAAAGAGAATAATCTGAGAGTGAACACACCCAACTTACTGCCTGAGGAGCAAACAAGTTAAGTAACGTGGAGAGCATATGCGAGACTGACAAACCTCAGCAAAGCCTTCAGGGAAGAATCTTAAGGACGTTACACACTGCGTATGCCAGAACAATTATGGAGTATGCAATATCGGAGATGGATTTTCCACCTGATAAAGCATATTCAAAACACTGAAAAGGTTTGTAACTAGACTGTTTCTGGAACTAAATATTTTTCACTACAAGGAGACAAAGAAATTGAACCTAAAGACCTTAAATACAAGGAAACAAACAAATATGATAATGCAGGTAGATGGGTATATGCAGGTTAAGACACTCGTATAAATTAGACAATTTAATGGCTACCTGGAGGGTATTCCGGGGGTCAACGCCCCTGAGGCCCGGTCCATGACCAGGCCTTGTTTGAAATGCATATCACATGACATACATATTACAGCATAAGTTTAACAGCATAGATAAATCTAGTTGGCCAAATAACTGAGCTTAGAAACCTCGACAATGATTCAACATTACTGATAACTTACGTCAGGCAGATACTGGAGTAAGCAGTGCCAGCATGGAATCCACAAATACATAAGATATACACACCTGATAAAAGTATGTAAACTTGATAGATCCAAGAGCTTGGCAACGAGACTAGTGCCGGAAATGAACTGTTCATGGAGACTTGAGCTAAAACTAGAAACACTAAAAGAGAAGAGGACCAGGGATACCTGAAGGATGCCCAAACGATGCTTCCGGGGGTCAACGCCCCCCAGATCAGTCCCAGACCAGGTGGGTCAAAGCCTGATCAGCCAGAAGGAATAAACAAGTCACAATATCTGACTGGAACAAGACACAAATAACCCGCACATAGGTGAAACTTAAGACGACGTTTCGGTCCCAGTTGGACCAATAACTAGCCACCCTGACTAGTTAATGGTCCAACTGGGACCGAAACGTCGTCATGAGTTTTTATTCTCCAATGTGCGGGTTATTTGTGCATTGATCAGCCAGGCTGTTACTGCTTGTAGCACGTAGTCCAACGTACGAACCACAGCTGGACTGAACTGAGGAATCACAACATAAACACTCAAGGGAGGCAGGCACGTGTGAGTGTGTTAGATAACAGTGGAGACAAATGGTAGTTGGTGTCTGTCGAGCTGTTGGAGTGTGAGCAGGGAAATATTTTGTGAAGGGATTCAGGGAAACTGGTTAGCCGGACTCGAGTCCTGGAGGTGAAGAGTACAATGAATGCACTTTAAAGGAGGTATTTAGGATACCTGCTGTTTGGAAGACATCTAAACTCGCGTATCTGCGCGCCTCTGGCAACAGTGATTGTGC